TCTGCTGACCAAAGGCTCCTTACAGCGATTGGAAGATTTATTATTTTAATTTTCAATTAAACAGATTACACTTCCATGCTCTGTGCAATAGAATGGCTATAATCCTTCCCTTCTGGGGGCCCCCCGCTGGTGTTCCGGGGGCTCCTCTTCTTGGTGTGCTGCCATAGGAAAGGCACTATTATGGCACACGTGCAGGCTCACTCCTGAGCCGCACTGCCTGCATCCATAGGCACAGATGGAGCGGCTCGGCCCTGCCACCATCACAGGATTTGACTGACAGCAGAGGGAGACATTGGCAAATTCAGCAATGCCTGTGAACACGGGGACAGCCGCTGCACACTGGGACAGCTGCAGCACACGGGGACAGCTGCAGCACACGGGGACAGCCGCTGCACACGGGGACAGCGCTAGATCTGGTAAGGATCAAGGAGGGCAATTCTGTTACCCAAATATTTTTTACCGTAATGCAGAGAATGCACTAAAGTGGTTGTAAAGGCTGAGGGTAACTCTCCTCACAGCCCAATCCCCCCCCCCCCAAATACCTGAGACCAATCTCGATCCAGCGCTGTGCATGAGAAACAGCGGCTCTCCCGCCTCTCTCCCTCCTCAATGGCTCAGGAACAGCAGCGGAAGCTATTGGCTCCTGCTGCTTTCAATCACAGTCAGTGAGGAGGGAAGTGGGGTGCAGGGCCGAGCCATGCTCTGTATGTCAATAGACACACAGGGCGGGGCTCAGGAGCGAGCACACATGAATGCCCCCCCCTCATAGCAAGCGGATGGCTAAGGGGGCACGAGACAGGAGTGCAGGCGAGGGACTCAGGAAGAGGAGGAATGGGGCTGCTCTGTGCAAAACCACTGCACAGAGCAGATAAGTATAACATACAGTATTTGTTATTAAAAAAGAAAAAAAAAAATATTGTACCTTTAATATCATCAAATTGAAAAACCGTTTAGGCCAGGGGCCTCCAAACATTCTAAGCAAAGGGGTCAGTTTACTGTCCTTCAGGCTTTAGGGGGGGCCGGACTGTGTCCAGTGGGAGTAAACAATGCCCCATCTTTGTTTATACTGGGAGGAATAGTGCCCTATCCATTGGTGTCAGTGAGAGGAATATAGTGCCCCATTCACTGGTGTCAGTGGGAGGAATATAGTGCCCCATTCACTGGTGTCAGTGGGAAGAATATAGTTCCCCATCCACTGGTGTCAGTGGGAAGAATATAGTTCCCCATCCACTGGTGTCAGTGGGAAGAATATAGTTCCCATCCACTGGTGTCAGTGGGAAGAATATAGTGCCCCATTCACTGGTGTCAGTGGGAAGAATATAGTTCCCACATCCACTGGTGTCAGTGGGAAGAATATAGTTCCCCATCCACTGGTGTCAGTGGGAGGAATATAGTTCCCCATCCACTGGTGTCAGTGGGAGGAATATAGTGCTCCATTTACTTGTGTCAATGGAAGGAACAGCGCCCCATCCATTGGTGTTAGTGGGAGGAACTGTGCCCCATCCATTGGTGTCAGGGGAACAGTGCCCCATCCATTGGTGTCAGGGGAACAGTGCCCCATCCATTGGTGTCAGGGGAACAGTGCCCCATCCATTGGTGTCAGGGGAACAGTGCCCCATCCATTGGTGTCAGGGGAACAGTGCCCCATCCATTGGTGTCAGGGGAACAGTGCCCATCCATTGGTGTCAGGGGAACAGTGCCCCATCCATTGGTGTCAGGGGAACAGTGCCCATCCATTGGTGTCAGGGGAACAGTGCCCCATCCATTGGTGTCAGGGGAACAGTGCCCCATCCATTGGTGTCAGGGGAACAGTGCCCCATCCATTGGTGTCAGGGGAACAGTGCCCCATCCATTGGTGTCAGGGGAACACAGTGCCCCATCCATTGGTGTCAGGGGAACAGTGCCCCATCCATTGGTGTTGGGAACAGTGCCCCATCCATTGGTGTCAGGGGAACAGTGCCCCATCATTGGTGTCAGTGGGAGGAATAGTGCCCCCATCCATTGGGGTCAGTGGGAGGAATAGTGCCCCCATCCATTGGGGTCAGTGGGAGGAATAGTGCCCCATCCATTGGAGTCACTGGGAGGAATAAGAGCCCTAAGGGCCGAATAAAAGGCAAAACAAAGGCGCACATCCAGCCCCCTGGCCACAGTTTGGAGACCCCTGGTTTAGGCTATAGAACCAGTTTAGGCTACCCCATACCCCATGTTCCGCTCACACCTCCATCACATTCAGGCTGAGCTGGCACGGCTGATTGTACCATCTACGATCCCGGCCGCAAGTACCGCAGGACGACACTTCTTGCCCCCATGAATGAGGCCTTAAGTTTTAAAAAGAAAGAAAGAGAGAGACTGCACCACAAAGCTATGAATTTAATTTTTATTTTATACAAAAAAGGAAAGAAGGGAGATCTGTATTAAGTCAGATGCATAATAACGAACGCCATTGCAAACTCTTCAAGTGACAGATCCCGGCCAGAAAAACGTTCAGTGACGGTATAGATCACAACGCTTTTCCAAGCTTCTCATTTTCACCCATATTTTTTTTTTGAAAGAAGAAGAGAAAAAAAAAAAAAATGTTGCTAAAGGGATCCAAGAACGAAAGGGGCAGAGGCGGACATGTTTGTACACCCAAAACATGATAAAACAAAATTCAAATTAAGGGGAAACAAAAAAAAACCAAAAAAAAAAAACAAACAAAACAAAAAAACAAACCAACAACAAAAAAAACAAAAAAAAAAAAACAAAAAACAAAAAAAATAACAACAAAAAGAAAAAAAAAAAAAAAACAACAAAAAAAGAAAGAAAAAAAAAAAAAAACCAACAAAACGGGAAAGAAAAAAAACCCCAAAAAAAAAAACACAAAACAAAAAAACAACGAAAAAAAACAAAAAAACGAAAAAAATACCAAAAACAAAGCAAAACGAAAAAAAAAATAACCAACAAAAAAAAAAAAAAAAACAAAACAAAAAACACAAAACAAAAAGGACACTTCTTGTCCCCATGAATGAGGCCTTAAGTTTAAAAAAAAAGAAAGAGACTGCACCACAAAGCTATGAATTTAATTTTTATTTTATATAAAAAGGAAAGAAGGGAGATCTGTATTTAAGTCAGATGCATAATAACGAACGCCATTGCAACTCTTCAAGTGACAGACCCCGGCCAGAAAAACCGTTCAGTGACGGTACAAGATCACAACGCTTTTCCAAGCTTCTCATCTGCACCCATATTTTTTTTTTTTGAAAGAAGAAAAAAAAAAAAAGAAGTTGCTAAGGGGATCCAAGAACGAAAGGGGCAGAGGCGGACATGTTTGTACACCCAAAACATGATAAACAACAAAATTCAAAATTAAGGAGAAACACAAAACAAAAAAAAACAAAAAAAAAAAAAAAAACAAAACAAAATGAAAAAAAAAAAAAGGGGAAAAAAAAAAAAAAGGAAAATGGAAAAAAAACTCCCCAAAAAAAAAATCCAAAACAAAAAAAAAATAAACAAAAAAAAAAAAAAAAATGAAACAAAAATGAAAAAAAAAAAAATAAAAACAAAACAAAAAAAATTAAAAGGCAAAACCCAACAAAACGAAAAAAACAAAACAGCAAAAACACAAAACAAAACAACAAAAACACAAACACAAAACAAAAAAAAAACAACAAAACGAAAAAAAAACAAACAAATGAAAAAAAAAAAACCCCAAAAAAAAACCAAAAAAAAAAAAAAAAAACTGGAAAAAAAAACAAAAAAAATTTTAAAAAAACCCAAACAAAACAAAAAAAATAACAAAAAACGAAAAAAAAAAAAACAAAATGAAAAAAAAACAAAAACAACAACAAATGAAAACATAAAAACAAAAAACGGAAAAAAAAAAAACAACAAAACGGAAAAACAAAAAATTAAAAAAAACCCAAACAAAAAAAAAAAAAAAAAAAAAATTAAAAAAAACCACAACAAAACAAAAAAAAAAAAAACGAAAAAAAAACAAAAAAACACAAAACAAAAACAACAAAATATCTCACCCCAACACACCACCCCCTCCCCCCCCCCCTACTACTACCCCCGAACCAAGTTCTATGGCACAGGCTCGGCGATAACCAAAAGCACGCCAATTTTTTTTTTTCTTGCGGATGCGTTCACTCGCTTGCCGATGATTATCAAGTCGCTGTCTATATATTTAACAGTCACAACAGTGGAAAGCGATCCTCATTTCCCCACGAACGGTAATTTGGCGAGCAAACCCTTTGACATATCTCTGCAAAACAACCTGGCGCCGAAAAGTATCGCCGGTCAGAATGCTCGATATTAGCCTTTTTTTTTGTTGTTTTTTTTTTTTTAAAGTCAGCAGCCCCACCAGTGCAAATAATTTCACTTCATCCTTGGGAGTTTGAGAAAAAAAAGATGAAACATTTTAAATAAAAGTTTTGCAATTAAAAAAAAAAAAAAAAAAAAAAAAAAAAAAAAAAGGGGCGCTAGTAAAACCTGTACAAACTAAACTTTGAATTCCAGGTGAACTCAAAGGCCGCATCTATACCTGTGCCACAAATATATAAATGAAATATACAGAAGATCATATTTTTCTCAAGTTTTTTTTTTTTTTTTTTTTTTTCTGTTGAATCCACAAAACGTAACGTGATAAGAATTCAAGCAGCTTTTTATTTATTATTTTTTTTTTTCACAGGAAAAAAAAAAAGGGAGGAATTAGAGCAGTTCCTGAGGGATCGCAGAAACGGTACATCTCACGCCATTCTCTCCCCCCCCCCCCCCCCCTTTTGGCCATCGTGTATACAGTTTTGGTTCCGACGTGAGTTTTTTCGAATTTTTTCGCAGTTGCTCCCGCGGCCCGAGCTCAATGCCGAGGATCTGACGATGCTTCTCGCCAACGCACACGTCCCTCTTGTGTGCGTCGCGTCTTGCCGGGCTTCGAAAAGGTTTTTGTTTTTCGCTCTGTTGCCATCGCGGATTGCGAGTTTTGCGTGTTTTTATAGATTTGAAGCGCCGGAGAGGGGAGCTCACGTTTTCCGATGCGAACGGCGAGATTGCCAGATCTGAAATTTGTTGTAGGCGGTCTGCAGCATCTCCTCCAGGTGGCTTGTGAGCTGCAATAGAAACAACAGAGCTCAGTGCTGGAAGGTGCATGGGCCATCGTCAGCCGGATTTTGTTCCATCCAGGCCACGGCGATTTTAACCACTCAGCCCGAAAAAGGTGACAGATGCGGATGTGAAAACAACATTACCGGCTTCTTCCTCATGCGCCCCCCCCCCCCCCCCCCCCCCCGCTGACCAGCGCTGTGATTGGACATTTTGCGATTTTGTCAATGATTTATGTCGAAAGCAGGGAGAAAGAACAGCCAGATCTCTTAGTAAAAGCAGCACTTGTTGGGTACACAGTTAACCCTTTGTCATCTCCCAGTCGGTGCCTGCACCAGATTGCCCGCCGCACTATCACAGTCCAGTATAATCGTCATTAGTACAGTGTAGAGCATTATTATCTGATCACTGTATTAATGTCATCTCCCAATCAGTGCCTACGCCAGATTGCCCGCCGCACTATCACAGTCTAGTAGAACGTCAATAGTACAGTATAGAGCATTATTATCTGATCACTGTATTAATGTCACCTCCCAACCGGCGCCTGCACCAGATTGCCCACCGCGCTATCACAGTCCAGTATAAACGTCATTAGTACAGTGTAGAGCATTATTATCTGATCACTGTATTAATATGACCTCCCAATCGGTGCCTGCACCAGATTGCCCACCGCACTATCACAGTCCAGTATAACCTCATTAGTACAGTGTAGAGCATTATTATCTGATCACTGTATTAATGTCATCTCCCAACCGGTGCCTGCACCAGATTGCCCACCGCACTATCACAGTCCAGTATAAACATCATTAGTACAGTGTAGAGCATTATTATCTGATCACTGTATTAATATGACCTCCCAATCGGTGCCTGCACCAGATTGCCCGCCTCACTATCACAGTCCAGTATAAACGTCATTAGTACAATGTAGAGCATTATTATCTGATCATTGTATTAATGTCATCTCCCAATCGGTGCCAGCACCAGATTGCCCTCCGCATTATCACAGTCCAGTATAACGTGATTAGTACAGTGTAGAGCATTATTATCTGATCACTGTATTGATGTCACCTCCCAAACAGTGCCTGCACCAGATTGCCAGCCGCACTATCACAGTCCAGTATAAACGTCATTAGTACAGTGTAGAGCATTATTATCTGATCACTGTATTAATGTCATCTCCCAACCGGTGCCTGCACCAGATTGCCCGCCGCACTATCACAGTCCAGTATAAAAAACGTCATTAGTACAGTGTAGAGCATTATTATCTGATCACTGTATTAATGTCATCTCCCAATCGGTGCCTGCACCAGATTGCCCTCTGCATTATCACAGTCCAGTATAACGTCATTAGTACAGTGTAGAGCATTATTATCTGATCACTGTATTAATGTCACTCCCAACTGGTGCCTGCACCAGATTGCCCGCCGCACTATCGCAGTCCAGTATAAACATTATTAGTACAGTGTAGAGCATTATTATCTGATCACTGTATTAATGTCACCTCCCAACCAGTGCCTGCACCAGATTGCCCTGCCGCATTATCACAGTCCAGTATAACGTCATTAGTACAGTGTGTAGAGCATTATTATCTGATCACTGTATTAATGTCACCTCCCAACCGGTGCTTGCACCAGATTGCCCGCCACGTTATCACAGTCCAGTATAAATGTCATTAGTACAGTGTAGAGCTTTGTTATCTGATCACTGTATTAATGTCACTTCCCAAGCTGTGCCTAAACCAGATTGCCTGCAGCACTATCACAGTCCAGTATAACCTCACCAATACAGCGTAGAGCATTATTATCTAGTCGCTGTATTAATGTCACCTCCCAACTGGTGCCTGCACCAGATTGCCCGCCGCACTATCACAGTCCAGTATAACGTCAATGACCACCGCCATTACCAGTATATAGCATCGTAGCTGCGTAAATTGCATAAAGGCTGTAAAAGCAATCATTTCCCCTTCTCTCTGGCTGCATTCTTGCAGCCACTGAGAAATACTGTGTGAGCTGCGATTGGTCACAGCTTTTTGTCTTAACTTAGGCTTTCTCCAGCGTGCCCTCATTCTTCACATGGTACAAGCCTGTTGTGCCTGTTTGTGAATGGCCCTGTACCATGTGATCTCTGTGATCATTCACAGATTTCACACGTAGTAAGCAAAGATGTCAGAAGTGACATCTTGTTTACTACTATTCATGTGATTACTGATTGGCCAATCAGTGATCACATCAATTGGGACCTCACACAGAGGTCCCGTACAGCGATCTTTGTTTGGAGGACACAGCGGGCACCGATCGTGGTGCAGCGCATTCCCAGGGAGCGTGCACAGGCAATGGATGCGGGGGGGGCACTTAGAAACGTCCAGCCGCATCCGCAGCGCTCCCGTCTGGCCGTTTATCAACATGGACCAGACAGGAAGAAGTAAAAGACTTTGAAATATCTTACATTTGTGCTCAAGTATTGCTTCTTGATTTTCTCCTGGAATGGACATAATTTAGTAACCTGAAACCTTTCCAAGTTACTCTTCATTTTAATGACCTGCAAAGAAAATACAGAAAAGTTTTACATAAATGACTTTTGTTTATTGAGAGAAGAAGAACAGCACAGCCTTGAATATAACAAAACTGCTGAACCATCACAGCTACATCTTTCCATCCTTTCCCCATAACCTGTTACTGAAAACATGGAGGAGGTGCCATACATTACATGACTACCCTGTAGTCGCACACATGCTAAACCAGGGCTTGAAATTTCCACTCACCTGCTCGCCAATGGCGAGTGGAAATTATGGTGGGGGCGAGTGTGTCCCCCAGGGCCGTCTTGCTGAGCAGGCTCGGAGCTCAGGCCGGATCTGTCATTGGCACTGGGAGCCGTCAGACTGCTCAATAGCTGAGCGCAGTGAAAGCAAAGGAAGGAGTGTGTGCTGTGCTCTCTGCCTCCCCCTAGAGTGCAATACCCGGATCTGTGAGTGAACAACGAAGTACTGCAACTTTTTAAGGGGTGTGGGGGGGGTGGTGTGTGTGTGTGTACGTGTACATGTGTGTGTGTTATCCATGTACAATTGTACATGTGTCTGTGTGTATGTACATGTGTGTATCTGTACATGTGTCTGCGTGTATGTACATGTATGTGCAGGGGCGAACTGACAACTCATGGGGCCCCGGGCAATAGGGGATCATGGGGCCAGTGTCCTTGCCCACACTCAAAAAGGCCTATATAAAAAAAAAAAAAAAAAAAAGGTACCAGGGGCATTTCATGGGGCCCCCTACTGACCCCGGGCAGTGCTCAAGTGCTCAAATGGTCAGTCCGCCCCTGTGTATGTGTGTGTGTACATGTGTCTGTGTATGTATGTACAATTGTACATGTGTCTGTGTGTGTATCTCTACATGTGTCTGCGTGTATGTATATGTATGTGTGGTGTGTGTACTGTGTGTGTGTGTGTGTGTACGTACATGTGTCTGTGTGTACATGTGTCTGTATGTACGGGTCTGTGTGTATGTACATGTGTCTGTGCTTGTGTATGTACATGTATCTGTGTGTATGCGTGTCTGTACGTGCCTGTGTTTGTATACATGGATGTGGATGTGTGTGTATGTACATTTCTGTGTGTGTGTACAGGTGTCTTGGTTGGTTGGTGGTGTTGTAACTCTAAGGTCTGGCTAGTAGTTCAGGACTTGAAATTTTAGGCCCTGTGCTAAACGATTTCTGGTCGCCATGCGGAAGTGACCAGTAGAGACGGATGGAAAATTGTCGGCCACACATCGGCTGCATCTGCTCATATGCAGCCGTGTTTGGGTATTCTGACAGGCGCGGGCAGCGGCCGTGTCTGTGCACCTGCTATGTCCCATAGGGCATGAATAGACAGCACAGTGGCTCAGTGGTTAGCACTTCTGCCTAGCAACAGTAAAGTTGTCGGTTCAAATCCCAACCATGGCACTACCTGCCTGGAGTTTGCATGTTTTCTTGTGACTGCGTGCGTTTCCTCCGGGTGCTCCGGTTTCCTCCCACACTCCAAAGACATGCTGGTAGGTGAATTAGATCTGTCTAAATTGTCCCTAGTATGTGTATGTATGAATGTGAGTTAGGGACCTTAGATTGTACGCCCTTGAGAGCTAGGGACTGATGTGAATGTACAATATATATATATATATATTATATATTATATATATAATATATTATATAAATAAAACGCTGTGCTCCGGTTTCCTCCAACCAGGGGCGGACTGTCCATTTGGAAACTCGGGCCCTGCCTGAGGGCATGGGGTCAGTAGGGGACCCCTTGAGATGCCCCTGGTACCTTTTTCAAAGGCTTTTTTGAGTTTGGGCAAGTACACAGGGGCCCCCCATGATCCCTATTGCCCGGGGGCCCCATGATCCTCTACTGGCCGGGGGGCCCCATGAGTTCTCAGTCCGCCCCTGCCTCTAACACTCCAAAAAAACATGCTGGTAGGCTAATGGACTCCTGTCTAAATTGGCCCCAGCGCAGATCTATGGGTCAGGTATAATTAGCGCTTCTTCCATGCAGCACTGTCCTCGGTTCAGATCCTGGCCAGAACACTATCCGCACAGAGTTTAGATGTTCTGTCTGTGTTTGCATGAGTTTCCTCCCGGGTACTCCGGTTTCCTCCGGCACTCCAAAGATGCGATGATGGTGGATTAATTGGTTCCTGTCTAAATTGGCCCTAGTATGTGTGTATGCATGCATGCAGAATAGGGACCTTTGATTGTAAGCTCCTTAACCCCCAGTTTGCATCTAAGCGGGTGGTGCCGCTGTGGATACGCATGAAAATCCATGCAGCTGCACCACCCACACAGAGAATTGCGGACCCGCGGGCGGGTGATATTAGTTCTAATGGCACGCCGTCGCACGGGGAAACACAACCGTACTGAGAACCTCGGCTGCGTTTTACAAAGTAGTGCAGGGACTTCTTTCCCTGCGTGTCACGGGGCACGGGAGTCCATTCAAATGAATGAGCTCTCATGCCCAAGCAAAAGGCGGCCCGCATGGCCACATAGGTGTGAACCAGGGGAAGGCACGGACTGATGTGAATGTATAATAAATATGTAATAATATTTATTATTATTATACAGGATTTATAGCTCTAACAGTTTGCGCAGCACTGTACAATATAAGGGAGACAGTACAGCAACAATACATTTCAGTGCAGAAGGAATAGGAGGGCCCGGCTCGTGGAGCTGACAATCTAAAAGAAGGGGAGGGGGAGGGGATACAAAAGGTGATAGCTGCGGGCAATGATCTGGTGGAGGTGACTCAAGTACAATTCTTAGGTGGAGGTGGGGTAGGCTTCCTGAAGAAGTGCGTTTTCAAAGATCGCCTAAAGTCAGACAGGGTGAGAGGCTGACCGGACATACTGTGGTAGGGAGTTCCAGAGGATGAGAGAGGGCTCTGGAGAAGACTTGTGTGTGAGCTGGTGGTCTGTATACAGTGCCTGGGCTCCTAGTTCTCCTCCGATTAAGAAGTCTCCTCACTCAGTACATCACCTGGAGGCCATCGAGTGATCACTGAGCAGGCCTCCTTTTTTTGGGTCTCCCTGTGAGCTTACACCATCCACAGAGCGGGGCCGCCAACATTGGCAGCGGATGTCGGAGAGTGAGGGATACCAGGCCTGACCAGACCCTGAAGGGATCTCCAGTACTCTGAGATTGATCTCTCTAAATGCGCAGATTGATTGCGTATCTGGTGAGTGCGCAATCTTTATACTGAGATTGATCACCATCCTACTTGGATCAGATTACTGGATCCTGAAGATCGTCATGATCTCCCACGCACCTTATTATTGGACTTTTATTTGGCACGTTGCACATTATCAGTCACTGTATAGTGACACATTCGATCACGGTCTATCACTTTATTTATCGATGTGCCAATATCATATCAAGTTTACTCATCTCTTAGCTGGTTTTATCTGAGGTGTTTACATGCAATAATGATATATTTCTTATGCCATTTTTAAGTTATTTATACTTATTCATTGGATTTTGATATTTTTGGGTTTCACCCGTTTTATTATAGTATATTATTACAGCTGGATATTTTAGCGCTACACCCTGCTGTCTATTATACAAAAGGTGATAGCTGCGGGGGATGATCTGGTGGAGGTGATTCAAGTACAGTTCTTAGGTGGAGGTGGGGTAGGCTTCCCTGAAGAAATGAGTTTTCAAAGATCGCCTAAAGGCAGACAGGGTGGGGGCTGACCGGACATGTTGTGGTAGGGAGTTCTAGAGGATGGGAGAGGCTCTGGAGAAGTCCTGGAGGCGAGCGTGGGAGGAGCTGATGAGGGTGCTAGAGAGGAGGATATCATGGGAGGAGCGGAGCGGGCGATATCTGTGGGATGAGGATTATATATAATAAAACTGACGATGCTATTAGGATTACCTGTAATAAATAAAATGAATGCACGGGGATACACGGAACACCTGTGTACAACGCCTGTGTGAATGAGGCCTAAAGGACACTCAATTCTGCTCCGCCATCAGCTTTTTCCCAACACAGAAGCTCGGTATCTCTTACCTTTTCCTCTAGAAAAAGCGTATTGACAGGGAAGCAGGACCAGAAATGGCGCAGCAGCTCGCCCACCGCCACGTATAAATGCTTGAGTTCAGACTGGATGTCGTTTGGCACCATCTCTGTAAGGGACAGACACACGTCATTGCAGAGCCTGATGGAAAACAAAGTAATATGCTTTGTATCCTACGGAGCAAACACACAAGTCTAATATATGGGATGAAGGGCGCGTCCCCTCTTCTGAAAATCATAAATAAGTATTGGAGTTCACGGAGAGCGTTAGAGACCTTACAAGGTGCCACGGACTGCGTTGATTCACAGAAAAGAGTTCCAACATAGCGAAGGTCATGAGAAATGACAAATTTTACAGTTGTCACCAGAGCAAGAACATGTGGAAAATGTCTAATTGGGACAACTGTACCAGTGACAACTAAATTAGAATTTTTTTTATTTTGTAATGTTTTTGTGTGATTTTTTTTTTCAATGGTCTGTTAGCGTGTGTGTGTGTGTGTGTGTCTGTGTGTGTGTGCGAATGTTCTTTTTGTGTTTGTAATGGTGTGTTAGTGCGTGTATGTGTGTGTGTGTGTGTGCTATAAAAAGGTCAATTGTACCTCTGCTAAAAATTAAATTACGTCGAATGCAAAATATGTATGGTTGAAAGGGTTCAAAACCCAGGTTTCTTTGCAGTGTCCACTGGAGAGATTTTTCCTTCACTTCCTGTGCTGGAGGCACAACCGGATGTGAGAAGAGAGGCTTTTTTTATCTGTTACTTTTTTTTTTTTTTTTTTTTTTAATAAAAGCTGTCTTCCCTGTCAGCATGCTGCAGAAACTACTCTCCCTCTTTGTGCAGAAGCAGTGATCTCTCTGGAGAGGTCCTGCTGAGTTTCTGACCTATATCACTGAAATCAGCAAAGCTCATGCTCCCTGTTGATTGTAAAGCTCAATCTCCGATTCAGTAGTGGGTGAGACAGACCTCTGCAGAGACCACTGCGTCCACACAGAGCAATCGTCCTCTTTTACAGCAGAGGAATCATTAAAGTGTTACTAAACCCCGGACCCCGCATGTCACCTGGTCTCCCTGGACCCCGCATTCACGATATCCGCTCTCCCCGGACCCCGCGTTCACTATATCCGCTCTCCCCGGACCCCGCATTCACGATATCCGCTCTCCCCGGACCCCGCATTCACGATATCTGCTCTCCCCGGACCCCGCGTTCACGATATCCGCTCTCCCCGGACCCCGCGTTCACGATATCTGATCTCCCCAGGACCCCGCGTTCACTATATCCGCTCTCCCCGGACCCTGCGTTCACTATATCCGCTCTCCCCGGACCCCGTATTCACTATATCCGCTCTCCCCGGACCCTGCAATCACTATATCCGCTCTCCCCGGACCCCGCATTCACTATATCCGCTCTCCCCGGACCCCGCATTCACTATATCCGCTCTCCCCGGACCCCGCATTTACTATATCCGCTCTCCCCGGACTCTGCATTCACTATATCCGGTCTCCCCGGACCCTGCATTCACTATATCCGGTCTCCCCGGACCCTGCATTCACTATATCCATCCACTCTCCCCGGACCCCGCATTCACTCTATACGCTCTCCTGGACCCTGCATTCACTGTATCCGCTCTCCCCGGACCCTGCATTCACTCTATCCGCTCTCCCCGGACCCCGCATTCACTATATCCGCTCTCCCCAGACCCTGCATTCACTATATCCGGTCTCCCCAGACCCTGCATTCACTATATCCGGTCTCCCCAGGACCCTGCATTCACTATATCCGCTCTCCCCGGACCCCGCATTCAGGATATCTGCTCTCTTAGGACCCTGCATTCACTATATCCTGTCTCCCGGACCCTGCATTCACTATATCTGGTCTCCCCGGACCCTGCATTCACTCTATCTGGTCTCCCCGGACCCTGCATTCACTATATCTGGTCTCCCAGGACCCTGCATTCACTATATCTGGTCTCCCCGGACCCTGCATTCACTATATCTGGTCTCCCCGGACCCTGCATTCACTATATCCAGTCTCCCCAGACCCCGCATTCACTATATCCAGTCTCCCCGGACCCCGATTCACTATATCCGTCTCCCCGGACCCCGCATTCACTATATCCGCTCTCCCCGGACCCTGCATTCATATATCCGGTCTCCCCGGACCCCGCATTCACTATATCCGGTCTCCCCGGACCCACATTCACTATATCCGGTCTCCCCAGACCCCGCATTCACTATATCCGGTCTCCCCGGGACCCTGCATTCACTATATCCGGTCTCTCACAGTACACACAACATGGAGATGCAATTATTGTAGTAAATATAAACTGCTAAATACCTTTTCTCATCAGTAGTATTATAGCAGTCTTGTGACCAGGGACGTGGATAAGGGGGTACCACCAGTCCCTCCTGTATGGGGCCCAGGATATCAGGAGGCCAAAGCAGCTGGGTGAATCAGATGTGGGCAGGGAGAGTAATCAGCATAATGGGGGGGGGGGGGGGGGGTTGCTGCTGGAACCAATCCCCTCTATGGTTCTCTCTGCAGCAGCTAAAAGCGGACTACTTCTCCTCCTCTCCCTCCTGCTGGCTTTCAGCTGATTTTACTGTTGTAGGTTTAGTAACACTTTACAATACACTGCATGCACTTAATGAGTTTAAAGTAGTACAGACATTTCAGTGACTAGAAGAGAAAGTCGACTCACGGTTTATGGCTTGCTGGGCCCCTCCCTGCATCAGGGCCCCACCTGGTGAGAGAGCCGATATGGTGCTACTAGCAGCCGAGCTTGAAAGAACCTGCATCATGAGAGAGATAGGAATTAGATATTTCTTACAGGCATTAATACAGCACTTTACATACTATACAGTCACATCGGTCCCTGACCCTCAAGGGGCGTACAATCTAAGGTCCCTGACCCTCAAGGGGCGTACAATCTAAGGTCCCTGAAAGGGGCGTCAATCTAAGGTCCCTGACCCTCAAGGGGCGTACAATCTAAGGTCCCTGACCCTAAGGGGCGTACAATCTAAGGTCCCTGACCCTCAAGGGGTGTACAATCTAAGGTCCCTGACCCTCAAGGGCGTACAATCTAAGGTCCCTAACCCTCAAGGGGCGTACAATCTGACCCTCAAGGGGCGTACAATCTAAGGTCCCTAACCCTCAAGGGGCGTACAATCTAAGGTCCCTGACCCTCAAGGGGTGTACAATCTAAGGTCCCTACCCTCAAGGGGTGTCCCTAACCCTCATTCATACACACACATACTAGGGCCAATTTAGACAGGAACCAATTAACCTACCGGCATGTCTTTGGAGTGTGGGAGGAAACCGGAGTACCTGAGGAAACCCACCCAAACACACAACATGCAAGCCACATGCAGATTGTCTCCTGGCCAGGATTTGAACCAAAGACAGAGTGCTGGAAGGAAGAAGTGCTAACCACTGAGACAATATTAGGAATCACATTTTCCAGTTGCTGCTCACATGACATTCTCTTACCCCGAGCAGGCTATGTATAGGAGACAATGATCTAATCTGGCAGCAAACCTGCCTGTTTTGCAGGCCATAGACGGGTCGTTTATCGGCCGAATTTTCGTCCGCATGAAAAATCGGCCGACATTCACGCCGTTGGTGAGGCCAGCCCGTCGGCCATTTTTCGCGGATCTTCACATTTATTTTTATCGGTCATGCTGGAAAATCCACGAAAAAACGACATTGGTGGCAGCATCGGCAACGGGGCTGACCGATTTTCCTTCCTTTCTATGGCCTGCCTTTGTAGAACAGGAAGTGCTGCAGGCAATGGTTGTTCTATAAAAACAATGGCAGTTGTCTGAGAAATGCTGTCCAGTCAACTTGCTTAACTCGAGCAGACTCGGGCGAATACATTCACACTTGTGCTTCACTTCCATTATATCTCATGACTTTGGAATTTCAGGATCTGTATAAATTCCCTCTGGGGGGTCTTCTGTATATCAGAGATGAACAATATTGATCCCTGTTTACCCCTTCATGCTGGCGCCTCCTGGCCCTTTAAGAGTTTCAGAAGCCGGGAGACGGGACGGGCGGGTATTAGGGATCATGTGACCACTGTGATCCGTCATCATGGCGGTCACATGATCGGGAAAGGTCCCAATCGAAAGAGCAGACCGGACCTTTCCGTGAGTACCGGACGTGTGTGCTGGGAGCGCGCAGGGTGCTCGCTCTCAGCACATATGTTTTTTGTTAATAGAACGCAAATGTGCGACCGCTTGGCGTCTAGGCCCAGATGCCGGGAGGCTGCACATTTGTGTGCGGCTGTCGTGAAGAGGTTAAAAAGAGACCCTGCCTCCACGCTAAAAGTTAAAGAGGTTGTGAAGGCTGAAGGTTTTTTTTTACCATCATACATTCATTCACAGATATCACACGTAGTAAGCAATGATGTCAGAAGTGACATCTTCCTTACCCCCTTGTGTCCGGAGGAGCGCGCACAATCCAAAATGGCGGGCACCGTTTGTGAACGGCAACCCGCCCCTGAACTGCCACCGTCCGCCCCCGTTTATATACAGCGACGGGAAGTGGTTAACAACTTCCAGTCCGGACACTTTCACCCCCTTCCTGCCCAGGCCAATTTTCAGCTTTCAGTTCTATCACACTTTGTATGACAATTGCGCGGTCATGCAACACTGTACCCATACGAATATTTTAGCTTTTTTTTTAGACAGATAAAGCTTTATTTTGGTACTATTTATTCACCACTGGGATTTTTATTTTTTTTGCTATGTAAATGAAAGTCCAAAAAATTTTGAAAAAAAGTGTTTTTCTTATAAAATTTTGCAAATAAATAGTATTTCAAATCTTGGCCAAAATTTATTCCGTTATCTTTTAGTAAAAAAAATAAATAATCCAAATTAGTTTATAACCAAAAATTATAATTTTTAAACTTTTTTTTTACATTTTGGTTTTTCTTTTTTTATATTATTTATGTTTCTTTTTTTACATACTGTCACCCTAGCAGTACAGTGCCACCATGGTGACACTGTACTACTTGTGGGGGGTGATGAAGATTTTTTTTTTTTTTTTTTTTTTAACACTGATTGCTTTTACACCCTTAAAAGGCTGTAAAAGCAATCATTCCTCTCTGGCTGCATTCTTGCAGCCATTGCGAAATGCAGTGTGAGCTGTGATTGGTCACAGCTTGTCACATGGTACAAGGCTGTTGTGAATAGCCCTGTACCATGTGACCTCTGTGATCATTCACAGATTTCACACGTAGTAAGCAATGATGTCAGAAGTGACATCTTGCTTACTACTGTGCATGTGATCACTGATTGGTCAATTAGTGATCACATGATCGGGACCTCGCACAGAGGTCCCGTCCGACGATCAGTGTCCCACTGTGTCCGGAGGACACAGCGAGCACCGGATTGCGGTGCTGTGCGCTCGCAGGGAGCGCACACAAGCAGGGTCAGGGAGGCCGTTTATAAACGTCCACCTGCCCCTGCACTGCCACCGTCCGTCCGTTTATATACAGCGGCCGGACAGGAAGTGGTTAATAAATGGTTTATGGGAAGGAATTTACAATAGCTGATATTTTGCACCTTTGAGGTTACACCGTGTTATCCCTCCCAGTTATCTATACATGTTCTGCCTACAATATGCTCCGCCCCTACCTGAGTTAGCCCTGGTACGTAGTTGTCCATCTGTTGTGTAATACTGTTCAGAGAATTAATAATATCCTGACTGGTTGCATATTGCTGGGAGTGGACTGGGGTCGGACCATGGCAATACCTGAAAATAGGAAACAAAAAATGGAAAGTAAACACCCACAATGTATCGAGAGCAATATTTCCATGGGTTTACCCATCCACCCAGTACTTGTATATGTGAATTAATGCTGTCGTGATCTATGGTACCCCAGGGGTCCATTTTCCATATGGTTCTGTTTAACCCCTTGACGCCGACGTAACACAAATATACTGCCTCGCAGATCTGGGCCTTTTTCCCTGAGGCCGCATATTTGCGTACCTGTCTTTGTGCTGGGAGTGCGCCGCACAAAGACCGCGGTGTCACCGAGAGCCCCGGGTCCCATTCTAACGATCGGGACCCGGGACTCATATGATCACTATGATAGGTTCATTCTCTCCAGGTCTAACTCATCCTCTTACTCGAGATGCTGTAACTATTATGGAGCACTAAGGGGGACTGCTGCACCCAGAACTCAGTTGGAAGACGCCAGGAATCCAGAGAACTACCAACCCTTGGAGCACGCCACTAATGGATGACTATCTTGTTGAGGCTGAGAGTATGAAGTACTGCCTGTGGAGGAGAGATTTCTTGTACTGATGTAGCCCCAGTGAATGGTCAAAGGTTACCACTAGCAACCACGGTTAACCTCCCTAGCGGTCTGATTATGTCAGTATTTCTGTGCTCAAAGCGGTACTTTTTTTGCATGGAAATAGGTCTTTTTTTATTATAGGCCTGTCATTTTTAGGAATAACTCACTGAAATCTGTCTGAACAAGAGTCTAGTAAACATCCCGGGTATGATACAATTTGAAACACTAAATCATAAATTATAATATAAGAAATAATCTTCAGGGAAGCCTGCCCCGCCCTCAGCTAATTACTGAATTCCTCCACTCTTCCTACCACTCCATCCCCCACAGTTGTTTCCTCCTGTACCACTATCCCCTCCCTCCTAGATTGTAAGCTCCAAGGATCAGGGCCCTCGATCCCCTCGTGTATTGTATTGTTACTGTACTGTCCCGTGTATTGTCTCCCATTATAATGTAAAGCACTGAGCAAACTATTGGCGCTATATCAAATCCTGTATAATAATAAAAAATAATAATATAATAATAAATTTAATTCAATAATATAATCAAACCAAAAACACTGAAATGTGAAATAGAGCGCCAAGTTCGCACATCGCTGAGTAAAGTCGTAAAATCGTCACGAGGAAGTCACAAGGTACTATCCTCTCCCTATCCCCTCCCTCCTAGATTGTAAGCTCCAAGGAGCAGGGCTCTCGAACCCCTCGTGTATTGAATCGTATTGTTACTGTACTGTCCCGTGTATTGTCTCCCATTATAATGTAAAGCGCTGATCAAACTATTGGCGCTATATAAATCCTGTATAATAATAATAATGATAAAAAATAATATAATAATACATTTAATTCAATGCTATAATCAAACCAAAAACACTGAAATTTGAAATAGAGCTCCCAGTTCGCACATCACTAAGTCGCAAAATCGGCACAAAGAAATTACGAGGTATAGTGACGTAACGCGTAGGTATGCCGTGACGCACATCTTGCGTTGGACGCCATCTTGGAACACCCTGAAAACCCCATGCAGTACACCCAAGCATGAGGATGTAAATGTGTTTTCTCTTTGCCAAAACGTGAGTGGGCATTTATTTAGGTTATTAAAGGAGATTTAATTACAAAATTACTACACTATGGAGGATCTCTTTTTTGCTCACCATGGGTATTGGTGAGAATAATATTTAGCAGACACACCTTTCCTGAGAGGCCTGGAGTATCTGATATAATACCTGGGAGAGGGACTACAGGTGAAACACTACCAGCCAGGATTGGAGTAGGATCTAGGAGTGATCTGAAAGCGAGTGGCCCATTGGGTCTCCTAAAGGAGGTGAGGAGGCAATATAGCCACTGTGGATAAAGTGTCTGACACTTTCACGGATATCATCACCATCATCACCTTGCATGATTTTTTGTTGTTTGAAGCACCTATACATATTTTATGGCACTATTAAAGATTTATATTCGTGTGTTTTATATGTGATTTGTTGTGTGGTCACATTGGCACGTATCACCTTTGTATTGTATCCCCTGTGTAATAGGGGTCTATGTCCTAACATTATAGGTTGCAGTATTATTTACATTTGTGTTGTTGGATTTCACTGTTGTCAGGTCACTTGTGTGAACACAGATCACATTGCTTTGGGCACTATATGCACTTATATTTATTATTTACGGTCACACAGTTTATTATTCATTTATTTTAGCACAGTGGTTTATATCATTTTGATATATATTTAGGGTAGCGCTGCACTAGTTTTGAGTATTATTCTTTTTATCACTGTTAAGGTATCAGTTTAGAGTGTCAGCTGCTATATTTTTCAGGCATTATTATTTTATTATTATTATACAGTATTATTATATTATTATACAGTATTTATAAAGCGCCAATAGTTCGCTCAGCGCTGTACATTACAAGGGGGGACAGAACATGTGACAGAACAATACCAATACAATGCAAAACATGAGGGGATCTAGGGCCCTGCTCTTTCGAGCTTACAATCTAGGATACAGTATTTATATAGCGCCAATAGTTCGCTCAGCGCTGTACATTATAATGGGAGACAATACACGATACATTACAATAACAATACAATGCGATACACGAGGGGATCGAGGGCCCTGCCCCTGGGAGCTTACAATCTAGGAGGGAGGGGTAGTGGTACAGGAAGAGATAGTTGTGGGGGATGGAGTGGTAGGAAGAGTGGAGGAGGTCGGCAAGTTAGCAGGGGGTGGGGTAGGCTTCCCTGAAGAGATGGGTTTTCAGGGTGCGCCTAAAGGAGAGGAGAGTAGGTGATAGTCTGATGGATTGGGGTAGGGAGTTCCAGAGGATGGGTGACACCCTGGAGAAGTCCTGGAGGCGGGCATGGGAGGAGGAGACCAGGGAACTAGAGAGAAGGAGGTCTTGTGAGGACTGGAGTGTGCGTGTTGGGTGGTACTTGGATATTAGGTCGGTGATGTAGTTTGGGGCAGTATGGTGGACGGCTTTGTACGTCAGTGTTAGGATTTTGAATTTTATCCGTTGGGCAATCGGAAGCCAGTGGAGGGATTGGCAGAGGGGGGTGGCGGATACGGGATTACTTCCTTTAAGCGCAGGAGGACTCTGTATATACATTTCACTTTTAGAACACTTGTCCCAGAAAGCAGGCAACCAACTCAAAACATGACCCATGAATGTGACGTGATAATTACCTATCGGATTTCTTAAGATTAAGTGCTATTGGCTTCAAACCATTACTTTCTCCCAGATCTTCATAGTCTATGGCCTCCTGCAGCTTCACCTACAAAATAAAAGCGGTCAGTAACGTGCAATGAAGATTTGACCTGAGATGGCAATATAACCGGCCATATTCTATCAGATAAACACTGCAGCAATTATTACAATCATTTTTCATTGTGTTGACCACTATTAGGGCTCATGTACACTGCAGCTGAAAAACTCACGTTTAGGAGCTGTTCTGCGTTTTGTTCAGCAGCCCCTGAACTCTCCCTAATGTTCTCCTATGTGTCCATGTACACATCTTCGTTTACAGTCGTTTACAGGCATTTGAGTTTACAGCCGTTTTTTTTGAACGCAGCAGTCGATTTTATCGGCATTTCAAATGCAAAATGCTTGTAAACGCAGCTAAACGAGGCAAATCACATTTATAAGCGTTTGTTTTTAAACTTTTTTAACTCTTCCAGTTCCCGATGCTGTCCAGAGCGAGCCTTTTTTCATCATGAAAATGCATGCAAAGTGTTTTCAAGGTACTCAGATGGACAAAACACTGAACACAGGATGTTCCTACCAAACTTGTTACACATTGTAATGACCAATTCACACCTCAGACCTCTCCCACCCTTGGAAACAAAAGATATGTTAATGACCATTCACACCTCAAATTCCTCATGAAGACCCCCTGCCAGGGGGCCTTAATGACTCCCTCCATCAGACACCTTTCCCACCCTTGGAAACAAAAGAAATGTTAATGACCATTCACACCTCAGACCTCTCCCACCCTTGGAAACAAAAGATATGTTAATGACCATTCACACCTCAGACCTCTCCCACCCTTGGAAACAAAAGATATGTTATGGACCATTCACACCTCAAATTCCTCATGAAGACCCCCTTTCAGGTGACCTTAATGACTCCCTCCACCAGACAACTTTCCCACCCTTGGAGACAAAAGAAATGCTAATGAGCAACTCACACCTAAGATAATCTCAACACATACTGCTGTCTCTGCTTCTACTCTCTGTATTTCTGTGAAACAGTCTGAAATAGTTAATAATTTACCATTTTTCAGTGCATTCTGGGCATTTGGGAGGTTCTCCTGTGCTTATCTTTAAAAAATGCTTCTAAACACAAACACACACATAAACGTGTTATGCAAACGCGGCTAAAAAGACGTTTTTTAACCTATGTTTTCCAGCAGTCAGTTTCCATCATTCAGAAGTGTCCCGTGTACATGGGGCCTTAACCAAAAGGGAACTCTTACCAGGTCCTATGGACACAGAGGACTGGACACTCATCAGGCTCTTTGTACTGACCAAACAATATACAGTTGTGCTCAAAAGTTTGCACCCCCTGGCAGAAATTGTGAAATTTTGGCATTGATATTGAAAATCTGACTGATCTGCCAAAAATGCTCTTTTATTGAGGGATGATGATCATATGAAGCCATTTATTATCAAAGAGTTGTTTGGCTCCTATTTAAATCATAATGATAACAGAAATCACCCAAATGGCCCGCATCAGAAATCTCCACCCCCCCCCCCCCCCCCCGGATCAGAAGTCTCCTCCCCCTGGAATGTTTGGCCTTGGTACAGACACACAAGGTGACACACACACGGGTTAAAATGCCAATTAGAGGTTAATGTCCCACATCTGTGGCTTTTTAAATTTGCAATTAGTGTCAGTATATAGTCAATGCGTGTGTTAGCTGTTACGTGGAAGTATTGAATAGGCTAGATACTGAGCCATGGGGATCAGAAAAGAACTGTCAAAAGTCCTGCGTAACAAGGTAATGGAACTTTATAAAGATGGAAAAGGACATAAAAAGATGTTCAAAGCCTTGAATACGCCAATCAGTACTGTTAAATCACCTATTAAGAAGTGGAAAGTTTGGGGATCTCTTGATACCAAGCCAAGGTCAGGTAGACCAAGAAAAGATTGGAGCTGTCACTGACATAAGAATTGTCCAGGATAAATGGCTTCATATGATCATCATCCTTCAATAAAAGATCATTTTTTGGCATGATCAGTCATATTTTCAATATCAATGCCAAAATGTCACAATTACTGCCAGGGTATGCAAACATTTGAGCACAACTGTATTTCTCATGGCTGATATGCAATGCAGACACAACTAGTCCATCCCATGCAATGTGCTGCAGATCAGCAGTGAATGATAATATGAGGTTGTGATTCATTTCTCAGTGAAGATAGTGAAACCTTTGGGCAGCAGCTGCTGCTATTATAACAATTCATACCTTCTTTACAGGGGGCTGAAAGAAATCGGAGTCCCGAGAATTGCCGTCTGTGCTACTCGTCTCACTGCATTGATCATTTTGTGCTTCTCTGCAAAGACATCAAAGCACATTGTTATACACACAGGAGATACAATCAGTTCATAGTATACCTGCTGTTTAGTGTGCCTGCCTCCTTCAGAAGGTCACATGACCAAACGCCAGAGCAAGAGGGGACCTGCAGATGTGTAAGGGTAGTATTTCAGCCCTTCAGTTACTCTAGCTATCCATTCTGGAGAGACTTAAAGTGCAACTGTAACAAACAATGCCCCTACCTACCCGCGCACGGTCTTCTCCAGCACTGTAAATGGAGCCGTGCATGCGCAGCTCAGCTTCCAGTGCCGGGCCAGTCTCTCTGTGCCAGAAAGATGGCCTCCTGCGCATGTGCGAACGTTATGAGTGAGACATCTACACTTCATGGTTATGAACATGCGGTGAAGATCACAAGTCACACACACATATATATATATATATATATATATATTTTTTTTTTTTTTTTTTATTTTTTTTTTAATTTTTTTATTTTTTATTTATTTAAAAAACATTTTTTCACATTTTTGGATTTTTTTGACCCTCTTTGGAATTTTCTATTACTCTATTTTGGGACAGTTACACGAGTTGTCATTATATTCATGTTTTTTTATTTATTTACTTCACATGTTTATTATTGGTTGAATCTGAACCACTGCACCACCTGCCTGGAGTTTGTATGTTCTCCCAGTGCCTGCGTGGGTTTCCTCCGGGTACTCCGATTTCCTCCCACACTCCAAAGACATGCTGGTAGGTGAATTGGCTCCTGTCTAAATTGTCCCTAGTATGTGTATGTATGAATGTGAGTTAGGGACCTTAGATTGTACGCCCCTTGAGGGTTAGGGACTGATGTGAATGTACAATATATATGTAAAGTGCTGCGCAAACTGACAGCGCTATATAAGTACCTGAAATACATAAATTACTATACGGAGGGGTTACAATAACTTTTTTGGTCTAAGCACACTTAGCCGCCCACAGCCAAATCACCCTGAATGCACCCGATCTTGTCTGATCTCGGAAGCCAAGCAGGGTCGGACCTGGTTAGTACCTGGATGGGAGATCGCCTGGGAATCAGTCAGGCATGGAGGGACAGCCTCAGTGTCCTCAGATGCTCATGTTTGGTCAAGCCAAATCAGGACAGAATAGTCAATGGAAGGAATATGGTCTATTTGGCAAATTACAGTTGTACCCTCAACATCAGCGGAATATGATCTTATAGACTTCACCTCCGCAACATCTCCAAGATACGTCCGTTCTTAACCCCTTGGTGCCGGCACCTCGCGGCCCTTTAAAGGTTTCAGAAGCTGGGAGGCGGGGCAGGGTTTAGGGTCATGTGACCGCCGTGACATGCTGTCACATGATAGGGAATGGTCCCGATTGAAAGAGATCGGGACCTTTCCGTGAGCACCGGACAAGTGTGCAGGGAGCGCACAGGGCGCGGGCTCTCAGCACATATGTTTTGTTTAATAGAATGCAAATGTGTGGCCGCTGGGTCTAGGCCCAGACGCCGGGAGGCCGCACATTTGCGTTCGGCAGGCGTGAAGAGGTTAACCTCGGAAACTACTAAGCAACGTATTCCCTCCCAGGTTATCTCTTGCCTTGACTATTGTAACTCCCTCCTCATTGGCCGACCTCATCGCAGGCTATCCCCTCTTCAGTCTATCATGAATACTGCTGCCAGACTCATCCACCTTACTAACCGTTCTGTATCAGCCACCCCTCTCTGCCAATCCCTCCACTGGCCTCCATTCAGTGTCCTAAATCCCTCTTTGCCAATCCCTCCACTGGCCTCCACTCAGTGTCCTCCATCCCTCGCTGCCAATCCCTTCACTGGCCTCCACTTAAGTGTCCTCCACCCATCTCTCCCAATCCCTCCACTGGCCTCCACCCCTCTCTGCCAATCCCTCCATTGGCCTCCACTCAGTGTCCTCCATCCCTCTTTGCCAATCCCTCCACTGGCCTCCACTCAGTGTCCTCCATCCCTCTTTGCCAATCCCTCCACTGGCCTCCACTCAGTGTCCTCCACCCCTCTCTGCCAATCCCTCCACTGGCCTCCACTCCGTGTCCTCCATCCCTCTCTGCCAATCCCTCCACTGGCTTCCCATTGCCCAACAGATAAAATTCAAAACATTAACAAGAACATATAAAGCCATTTATAACTCTGCCCCAAATTACATCACCAATCTTGTCTCCAAATATCACCCAAACTGTCCTCTCTGCTCCTCGCATGACCTCCTGCTCTCTAGCTCCCTTGTCTCCTCCTCCCATGATAGTCTCCAGGACTTCTCCAGAGCTTCCACCATCCTCTGGAACTCTCTACCCCAATTTATCAGACTATCGCCTACTCTGCTCACTTTTAGGCGATCTCTGAAAACCTCTCTCTTCAGGGAAGCCTATCCTGCCCTCAGCTAATAATGGAATCTTCTACTCCTCCTACCAGTTCATCCCCACAGTTACTACCTTTTGTACCACTAGCCCCTCCCTCTTAGATTGTAAGCTCCCAGGATCAGGGCCCTCCTAACCCTCTTGCATTGAACTGTATTGTCTCCCGTTATATTGTAAAGCGCTGAGCAAACTGTTGGCACCATATACATCCTGTATAACAATAAATAAAATTAATAATATTATGGCGGTCTACTTCCTGTGTAGAGTAAACCTACTCTTTTCGGAGACCCGCTGCCAGCACCATGGCACTGTGGTGGTTAAATCGTTTGATGATGGCGGCATTGCTGTTTTCTTTCACAGATTTTGCATTTGAAGTGGATGGCCCGGAGGAAATCCCATATCCCTGAGAGAGAAGAAGATGACACGGTCTAAAGTACGCTCACAATCCCAAATTCACACACGAAAAAAGGTTAGAAAAACTGAGCTTATTTGGTTTGAAAACAAGCAAAGAATAAATGAAAACAGAAGTGATGCGTTACAATACACTATATGACCAAAAAGCTTGTGGATACCTTACCATCACACCTACACGAGCCTTTTGGACTTCCCGTTCAAAAACCATGGGCAATAATATGCTTTGGGGCCACGAAAGCCTCCACTCCTCTGGGAAGGATTTCCGAAGGATTTCCGTAGGATTTTAGAGTTTGCCTGTGGAAATGTGTTCCTATTCAGCTAAAAGAGCATGTGTGAGGTCAGGTTCTGGTGTTGGATAAAGACCTGGCTGACAACCAGCTAAGTCATCCCAAAAGGTATTCAGTAAGGTTGTGGTCAGGACTCTTGAGTTTCTCCACGTTAATCTATGGCAGCAATGGGCAAACTACGGCCCGGCGGACCTTTTAATCCGGCCCGCGGAGCGTGGCAAACATTGGCTGTCAGGATCTGTGTAGGCGGGGCAGCGTGAGCGAGGAACGTGAGGGGAGCTAGGCTCCTCTCACAGTCCGCCCTGAAGACCGGAACGGCGCGGGAACACAGCGAGAGGAACGAGCGGAGCAAAGGTAAGTGAATTGACACAGGGGGGACTTGGGGACTTAATATGGGGGATGAATTAATATGGGGGATGAATTACTATAGGGGGGATGAATTACTATATGGGGGATGAATTACTATGGGGGGGATGAATTACTATGGGGGGGATGAATTACTATTATGGGGGATGAATTACTATTATGGGGGATGAATTACTATTATGGGGGGGATGAATTACTATGGGGGGGATGAATTACTATATGGGGGATGAATTACTATATGGGGGGATGAATTACTATATGGGGGGGATGAATTACTATATGGGGGATGAATTACTATATGGGGGAAGAATTACTATGGGGGATGAATTACTATATGGGGGGATGAATTACTATGGGGGATTAATTACTATGCTTACTATGGGGGAATATTACTATACTTACTATGGATGACACATACACATCATTCATCTACTCTTGGTCCGGCCCCCGGGTTCAATATATGAACCCATTGTGGCCCTCAAGTCAAAAAGTTTGCCCACCCCTGGTCTATGGGGTTGATTTACTAAAAGCAAATAGGCTGCACACTGCAAGTGCAATAGCTCTAGACCTGAAGGGAACATGCAAGGAAAAAAAAAAAAAAAAAAACAACAGCATTTTTTCTTTGCACATGATTGGATGAAAAATCAGCAGAGCTTCACCTCGTTTCAGAGCTTCCCTTCGGATCTAAGTGAACAGTAACCTTTAGTAAATCAACCCCTATGTCTTTATGGAGCTGGCTTTGTACAAAACGGCAGAGTCATGCTGAAATAAAAAAATACCTTCCCTGAACTGCTCCTGCAAGGTTTGGAAGGGCACAATTGTCTGAAACATCTTCACCAGCTGTAGCATTAACCTCCCTAGCGGTCTGATTATGTCAGTATTTCTGTGCTCAAAGCGGTACATTTTTTTGCATGGAAATATGTTTTTTTTATTGTAGGCCTGTAATTCTTAGCAATAACTCACTGAAATCTGTCCGAACAAGAGTCTAGTAAACATCCCGGGTATGATAAAATTAGAAACACGAAATCATAAATTATAATATAATAATCAAAAAATAATAATATAATAATAATAAATGTAACCCTATATGTGACTATGAAACTGTTCAAAACGGTGCGACTCCGACTTTGTGGTGCGGCACTGAAAAAAGGTTCCTGCACTATTTTTGCTGATTTCATGTGCAATTTGCATAGACACCTGTGCATGATGTAGCACAGATGTCAGGCAAGCCACACATGAAATCACACTGACCAGCGGATTAAAACTGTACTACCTTCAAGTGAAGAAGCACGATTTCAAAGCCAGATTCAGCATGAACCAGGCCATACATGGTTCGAATCCCGAATGATTTTTCGTCCAAAAATCGGAAACGTCGTTCGCTCGGTAATCCCACGGTGCCATCATTGATTTCGAAAATCAGCCGACCAAGTCATAAAGTTCACCCCATATAACAGGCAAAACTTCTGTTCCTTCCAGGTCACGGCTCATGCGCATATTCTTTTCGGAAAAACGATCGTACGATTTAACCATCGAGTCGAAAAATCGGTCGTTTTTCACAAATTTTCCAACATGCCCGATCACTGAAAAGGGGAGGAACCACGAAAATCGGCCGGTGCCATTGACTCACTAACAGAGCGAAAATCGGCCGATTATTCTTAGGTCTGATTTTCGGACAAACAATCAGTCGATTTTCGACCCATGTATGGCCGGCCTTATGCAGGCCATAGACGGGTCGAAAACTGGGCGTTTGCTTTATTAAAAAAAATGAAAAAAAATTGGTTGTTCGACTGACGTTACCACCAACTGTAAAAAAAAAAAAAAAAAATATCGGCCAATTTTCATCCCGTCTACGGCCGGCATTTAACCCCATAATTACTTGTCCCTTGCAGAGAGCTCCGCTATTATATTTGACATGAATAAAGTCTTGCAGTTGCAACAATGTATCCATTTGTATCCATTTCGGATACAGATGTTTTTATTTGGATACAAATAGATACATTTGTTGCAACCGCAAGACTTTTCGTATAAAATATAATAGTGGACTGGAATTCTTCTTCTTCTTCTTCTTCCAGGTCACGGCTCATGTGCAGATTTTTTATCGGTAAAACGATTGCCCATCATTGCCGGAAAATCGGCTGATCGGCAAAATCGGCCGCAAAATTTCCAACTTTACAGATAAAAAAAATTAGCAAAAAGCCCCCAAAACAGCCGACCAATTAACCCAATAACGGTGCGAAAATCGGCCAATTTTTTTTTTCGGCCAAAAAAATCAGCCGATTTTCGACCCGTCTATGGCCTGCAGGACCCTTCCCTGGAATCACACAAACTCCACGTTTTGGTCATATAATATATGATCAGTATAAAGATGTGGCAGACAAAAAAAAAAAAAAGTCTTTTTAAAATATCTCACCTCATCCAGACTTTTGTCATCCAGGGATGTCAAATCTAACATTGGATTCTTCACCCCTTGAGAAACCAAAGATTTTAAACCTGGAAACAAATTCAAAAGTTGATTAAGCAGAAAGGAATGCAGAATGGTGTTCCAGAATGGGTCTGTGCTGAGAGATCTAGAGAGGCTGCCCTCACCGAACGTCTTCTAAAAACAATCGCTGACTGCGAACATGAATGCGGATCAATAGAATCCTTAAGAGCAGATTCACACACATGCGGTGCGGATTGAAGCTCAGGTTTCACAGTTAATTGACACAGTAGTCGTTCCCAGGTTTATGTCAGGTTCAGGACAGGATTCACTTAGGATCTTATCTTGTTCACACGTTCGTGGTTTAAAACCAGTTTCCATAGAAATCAATAGCCTGTAATTTGCACCTGAACCGGACCGCACTGCTCAGAAAGCGGACATGACTCTTTTTAAAACCGCACTGAATTCGCACCACCAGTGCACTGGACATATGTGAATAGGCACCATAGGAAGCAATGTTTTTTTTCGCATGTCATGTGGATTGGATATGGTTCAAACCGCATGCAAGCCACATATATGTGAACGGGCACTAGAGTGACACTATGGCCAAAATCAAAAATGACGTATATAATATAGTCTGTCAGTAGCATTTACAGAGCGGTCTTTGTTTTTCTGAGACCCCCATAATGTAATTTATTATTTAGTGATCTGGCCAGTAGGTCTGTTGATTTTCAACTTCCTTTAACCACTTCCAGTCCTGACACTTTCACCCCCTTCCTGCCCAGGCCAATTTTCAGCTTTCAGCGCTATCACACTTTGAATGACAATTGCGCGGTCATGCAACACTGTACCCATATGAATTTTTTAGCATTTTTTTGAGACAAATAAAACTTTATTTTGGTGGTATTTATTCATCGCTGGGATTTTCATTTTGTTTGCTATGTAAATGAAAAAGTCCAAACATTTTGAAAAAAAGTGTTTTTCTTATAAAATAAATAATATTTCATCATAAATCTTGGCGAAAATGTATTCTGTTATCTTTTTGGTAAAAAAAAAAAAAATAACCCAAATTAGTTTATAACCAAAAATTATAATTTTTAAACATTTTTTTTTTACATTTTGTTTTTTATTTTTTTATATTATTATTTATGTTTTTTTTTTTTCTACATACCGTCACCCTAGCAGTACAGTGTCACCATAGCGACACTGTACTACTTGTGGGGGGTGATGATTTTTTCTTTTTTTTTTTTTTACGGATTGCTTTTACACCCATAAAGGCTATAAAATCAATCATTTCTCCTTCTCTCTGGCTGCATTCTTGGTGATGAATATATATATTTTTTTTACACTGATTGCTTTTACACCCATATAGGCTGTAAAAGTAATCACTTCTCCTCTCTGGCTGCGTTCTTGCAGCCATTGAGAAATACTGTGTGAGCTGTGATTGGTCACAGCTTGTCACATGATACAAGGCTGTTGTGAATAGCCCTGTACTATGTGACCTCTGTGATCATTCACAGATTTCACACGTAGTAAGCAATGATGTCAGAAGTGACATCTTGCTTACTACTCTGCATGTGATCACTGATTGGCCAATCGGTGATCACATGATCGGGACCTCACACAGAGGTCACGTTCGACGATCGGTGTTCCACTGTGTTTGGAGGACACAGCGGGCACCGGATCGCAGTGCTGTGCACTCCCAGGGAGCGCGCACAAGCAGGGTGCAGGGAGGCTGTTTATAAACGGCCACCCTACCCTGCACTGCCACCGTCCGGCCGTTTATATACAATGGATGGACGGGAGGTGGTTAATCCCTTCCTGCCCTTCCAGGCGGCCTTTTAACTGGGCCTAAATCCAGGAGGTGTGATGAACTTCCCAATCATTGATTGGCTGTCACAGTGGTCACATAGTCAGGATCCATACTGCATATACAACGGGCGGACGGGAAGTGGTTAACAGGCCAAACTGTCCAGAGAAAAGTGACTACAGGCAGGCAGCAACGAATACATCCACTGGTACTGAAATCATGGACCACAGAGATGAGCTTTAACTACATCACGGACATTTGTTTTTCTTGGTTCAGACATAATTCGTTGTGACGGTCTAATGGGGGTGTAGAGTCAAATTTACGATCAAGGATTCAAAGTTCTATATGTTTGACATCAAAACCACAGCAGTAAATTGAGAGTGATGTGATCAGTAAGTGGCAAAAGCAGGCCATACGCGGGTCAAATTCCGAACAATTTTTCGTTCGAAAATCGAAAACATCGTTCGTTCTGTAATTCTATGGTGCCATCAAAGATTTTGAAAATCAGTCGTTTTTCACGAATTCTCCAGCATGCCCGATAAACGAAATGGGGAGGAACCACGAAAATCGGCCGGTGCCATTGCCCCCACTAACAGAGCAAAAATCGGCCGATTATTCTTAGGTCCGATTTGCGAACGAAAAATCGATTGGAAAAATCGACCCATGTATGGCCGGCCTAAGTCTTAACGTGCCTAATATTGTAAGCATCTAGAACACAGCAAGCTTTTCATTCTGCCAGAAGTGTGTAAGACCTCTAATACGTCTCTTACCTTTCTCGTCTATCTTGGCGCACTCGGCAAACAAGTCTTTGGATCCCGTGTTTTTGTTTTGTTTTCGTGTGAGACGATCTCGGTGAAAATAATGCGACTGGAAGAATCGGGTCCAGAACTCTTTCTCCGTCATATTGTGAGGAACATTCTCATCGTACTTTAGCTTCACTGGAAAGATTAATGGTTACACATTTATTATTCGACTTTTCTCATCCCAACAATTCCATCATTAACCCCTCGCCTACCGGGCACTTCTACCCCCTTCCTGCCCAGGCCAATTTATAGCTTTCAGCACTGTTGCACTTTGAATGACAATTGCGCGGTCATGCAACACTGTACCCATATGAAATTATCATTTTTTTTGTGACAGATAGAGCTTTATTTTGGTGGTATTTAATCAGCTCTGGGTTTTTTTTTAATTTTTTCTTAAACAAACCAAAAACCACTGAAAATTTTGAAAAAAAAAAAAAAAACGTTTCTTAGTCTTTGTTATAAAATTTTGTAAATAAGTGATTTTTCTCCTTCACTGATGTGCGCTAATGAGGCTGCAGTGATGGGCACTGATAGGCTGCACTGATGGACACTGATGGGTGGCACTGGTAGTTGACACTGATGGGCATTAACCGGCATCACTGATGGGCACTGATATATGGCACGGATAGGCGGCACTGACTGGCACCAATAGGCAGCACTGACTGGCACTGATGGGTGACACTGAAAGACAGCACAGATGGGAACTGGTATGTGGCATTGATGTGCACTGGTAGGCACTGATATGTGGCACTGATACGTGGCACTGATGAGCACTGACAGCTGGCACTGCTGGGGCTACACTGATCATCAGGGCACACTGATCATCAGTGCTCTGATGATCAGTGTACATGTCCCCTCTGAGGAATGCCGATTACCGGCTCTCCTCTCCTCTGTCAGTGTGACAGCTCGAGAGGAGAGAAATGCAGATAACCGGCATTTCCCTGTTTACATGCGATCAGCTGTGATTGGACACAGCTGATCACATGATCGAGCTGACATCTTCGGCGCTTTCCGTGGATTGGTGATCCGCTGTGTCCGAGGGACACAGCGCACCGCCGATCGCCGTGCTGCGCGCTCCGGGAGCTGAGCATGTTAGAATGGGAGGATGTCTTATGTCACTGCAGCTGTGTGTGAATGGATATGCAGAACAGCGGCTCGAGAAGGCACCTGCTCGGGTGCCCCCATAGCAATCTGTTTGTTTGCTATGGGGGTACCCAATAGGAGGGAGGGACCAGGAGTGCGGCGGGGGACCCGATAACAGGAGGATCCGGGTAGCTCTGTGTAAAACCACTGCATAGAGCAAGTAACTATAACATTTTTGTTATTTTTAAGAAAAAAAAACAAGACTTTAGTAACTCTTTAATATACAATAACTCAGCAGGATAAAAGCAGCAAATAAAAATATTTGGATTTCATCAAAATAACTTGAATTGGGAAGTATTTCGGAATCTGAAGAATCGCCCGGGAACCCTCCGCACTTAAATAGCTGGAATTCAAGGTAGCAGCACCTGCCCAGAAATTCTGCCCCTTCCAAAAAGTAGCATAACCAGTTACAGGGATCCAGCACCCCTGTCCCAGACTGGAGCCAGTAGTCCTTAAGGGGGTAGTGGACACCTAGCAGTATCGATTCTCTATGAGCCCCTACATTACTGCAGGACACAATAGTGACATAAAGGCTGCCAGTAGATTGCACCAATGAGCACAGAGGGGGATCTAGAAGCCTGACATTCCTGGAAGTGTCAGATTCTGCAACATCTTCAGCAAGGGATTCGATTTTTGAAGGGCAGCAGGGAGGGGAGAGATGAATGCATCCTTTGCACACTTTCATGTTTCAATCACACCACCGATTAATGCCGGTGCAAGCTGTAGTGGCAGAGATCTTTTGTTTACAGCTGGGGATGATAGCAGATAGGTGCCCTGTTCACCACAATGACTGGTCGCTGGGGGCCACAGCTTCCCGGGGCTTTCTGTACAGCCAGTGAGTACCTGCAGTGATCTTGCCGGATGCACTCTGTGTGTGTCCAGCAGCGTTCATCACAGGTAAGAGTTGCCTATAGCTGTGGCCGTTGCCAACCTGTCATTGCAGTGAACGGGGATAGCAGCTGCACACAATGGAATTAATCTCCGATGTAAATGTAGCCTTAGTGACAGAATCATTTACCACAAATCCGTCACACTGTCCTCTCCTCAGGGTACTAGCACTGCATTGTGGTATGAGGAGAGTGCAGTTCACTTATAGAATGAGTGAGAGTGTATATATATATATAGAATTTATTTCAGGTACTTATATAGCACCGTCAATTTACGCAGCGCTTTACATATATATTGTACATTCACATCAGTCCCTAACCCTCAAGAGGCGTACAATCTAAGGTCCCTAACCCTCAAGAGGCGTACAATCTAAGGTCCCTAACCCTCAAGGGGCGTACAATCTAAGGTCCCTAACCCTCAAGGGGTGTACAATCTAAGGTCCCTAACCCTCAAGGGGTGTACAATCTAAGGTCCCTAACCCTCAAGAGGCGTACAATCTAAGGTCCCTAACCCTCAAGGGGCGTACAATCTAAGGTCCCTAACCCCTCAAGGGGTGTACAATCTAAGGTCCCTAACCCTCAAGGGGTGTACAATCTAAGGTCCCTAACCCTCAAGAGGCGTACAATCTAAGGTCCCTAACCCTCAAGAGGCGTACAATCTAAGAGGCGTACAATCTAAGGTCCCTAACCCTCAAGAGGCGTACAATCTAAGGTCCCTAACCCTCAAGAGGCGTACAATCTAAGGTCCCTAACCCTCAAGAGGCGTACAATCTAAGGTCCCTAACCCTCAAGGGGCGTACAATCTAAGGTCCCTAACCCTCAAGGGGTGTACAATCTAAGGTCCCTAACCCTCAAGGGGTGTACAATCTAGGTCCCTAACTCACATCCACACATACACATACTAGGGACAATTTAGACAGGAGCCAATTCACCTACCAGCATGGCTGGAGTGTGGGAGGAAACCGGAGGACCCGGAGGAAACCAACGCAGGCACAGGGAGAACATGCAAACTCCAGGCAGGTGGTGCTGTGGTTGGGATTCGAACCAACGACCCGAGTACTGCCAGGTGGAAGCGGTAACCATTTAGCCACTGTGCTGCCCCCACCTACAGATGACGCCTACATGCCTGTTGTAACCTGAACCTTCTGGTTCTACTTCAGAGAACTTTATTTTTATCCTCAATGACTTACCTGTCCGATATTTAATGACGAGATGAGGAAAGTACCCGGCATTCCTTATTGGGCAAGAAGAAAGGGGATTTCTGGGTTATTCTTCATCTCAGAACATCCGACGCCATAAGAAGCACATAATATGCTTTCACTTTTGTTTTAAGGGGAAAAAAAAAAAAAAGGAAAAAAAAAAAGCAGTTTCTTGTGAAAGGGAACAGAAAGAGAGCCTGTACCTTCCCAAGATCCTTGAAGCAGGCACAGGGAGAACATGCAAACTCCAGGCAGGAGGTGCCATGGCTGGGATTCAAACCAACGACCCGAGTACTGCCAGGTGGAAGTGCTAACCATTTAGCCACTGTGCTGCCCATATATATATATATATATATATATATATATATATATATACACACATACATATACACACACACACATATTATTTCAAGTACTTATATATAGCGCCGTCAATTTACGCAGTGCTTTACATATATATTGTACATTCCCATCAGTCCCTAACCCTCAAGGGCTGTACAATCTAAGGTCCCTAACTCACATTCATACATACACATACTAGGGACAATGTAGACAGGAGAAAATTCACCTACCAGCATGTCTTTGGAGTGTGGGAGGAAACCCACGCAGGCACAGGGAGAACATGCAAACTCAGGCAGGTGGTGCTGTGGTTGGGATTTGAACCAACGACACCAGTACTTCCAGGCAGAAGTGCTAATCACTGTGCTGCTATATAATTATATATATATACACACACACATACATATATACACACACACACACACACACACACACACATACATATATACATACACACACAGACTAGTGGGGACTGACCGTTTGGAAACTTGGGCACTGCCCCGGGGTCAGTAGGGGGCCCCATGAGATGCCCCTGGTACCTTTTTCATAGGCTTTTTTGAGTTTGGGCAAGGACACAGGGGCCCCATGATCCCCTATTGCCCAGGGGCCCCATGATCCCCTATTGCCCGGGGGCCCCATGAGTTGTCAGATATATACACACACACTATACAGTTCCCAAATGTGATAATATTTTGGGCCTGACAAAGCAAAAAATTACACTTTGAAAATGTTAGCATCTTCCACCACTCAGGGCAGTTTGTAACGTGTATCCTACTGACAGGTTCTCTTTAAACTTACTTTTGAATACTTTAACATGCACATGAACACTTGCCTGCAGGATAGGTGCGAAATATGGACTCAATGATGTCTGTAGTGAGGTTATATCTCAGGCCATTGCATCCATCAGCCTGGGGACGAACATCCGCCTAAAAAGTAAAAAAAAAAAAAACAAAAAACTATATGAGGGAAGACAAATGCATATCCCCCCAGGCAACTGACAGATGTCTGCACTGCTACCTTCTGCACAACGGTCACAAAACAGTACGAAGGAGAGAGATTTCTAATATCGCATGACCAAAACCTTTAAACATTCTGATGGATCGATGCAGATATTCCTGCCAAGCTGCAACCAGCGACATTACTGTGAGCGAGACCAGAGAACCATAGGGGCTTATTTTACAAAGCTAAAAAGGAGCAATACAGGCAGTACTGTCACAATGGCGTCATTTCATGCAATGTTCTTTTAACCGTTTCCATACCAGGCAATTTTACACCTTCCTGCCCAGGCCATTTTTCAGGTTTCAGCGCTCTCACACTTTGAATGACAATTGCGCGGTCATACAACATTGTACCCAAACTAAAATTTTATCATTTTCTTCACACAACTAGAGCTTTCTTTTGGTGGTATTTAATCCCCCGCTGGGGTTTTTATTTTTTGCTAAATTAACAAAAAAAAAGACCAAAATTTTTGAAAAAAAAAAACACGTTTTTTTTTGTTTCTGTTATAAAAGTTTACAAATAAATAATTGTTCTTCATAAATTTAGGCCGAGATGTATTCTGCTACATGTCTTTGGTGAAAATAACCCAAATTAGGATGTATTATTTAGTTTGTAGGAAAGTTATAGAGTTCACAAACTATGGTATAGATCTGAATATTGATCAATCCTGAAGTACTGACAGCCAATCTAATTTCTTGAGGTCCAAGAATGTCAGGACAGTACAGATATCCCCCCCAAATGTCAGGACAGTACAGATATCCCCAAATGACCCCTTTTTGCAGAGTAGACAGTCCGACGTACTTCATAAGAGGCATGGAGAGTTTTTTAAAGTTGTATTTTTTTTTTGTCATAATTTTTCGGAAAATGAAAAAATTAAAAAAACTATTTTCACAATTTTTTTTTTACATACTGTCACCAGTGCAGTACAGCGTCATCATATAACTGGCATGGCGGTGAACAGGGACACTGACTGGTGACAGTATGAAAAAAATATATATATTTTTTTTTTTTTTTTTTATTTTTTATTATATTTAATTTTTTATTACTTTTTTTTTTTTAAGATTTTTTTTTCATATTTTACTATGACCAAAGTAGTACAATGTTACCATAGTAACATTGTACTACTTTGGGAAGTGATCATTATTTTTTTTTTTTTTTTTACACAATTTGCTTATAGCAAAGAATTACTTTGCTATAAGCAAGCATTTAGCTGAATGAAATCGATTCATTCAGCTTTTTTTTTTTTTTTTTTTTTTTTGTGCTTAGCTGTGATTTGGTCACAGCTAATCACATGACATGTGCATGTGATTAGCTGTGGCCATTCACAGCTAGGCACTAGTATACAATGGATTGCATCATGAATGAAGCCATCCATTGTATACAACTGTCATGTGACCTGCTGTGATTGGTCACAGCAGGTCACATGGTACCAGCAACGGGAGCCGGTACTCGGATCTGTCATCGGCCGTGTCCGAGGTGCACGGCCGGTGACAGATCGCACTGCTGCGCCGCTCTGCATTAGCGCAAACGGCGCATGTGTGGGAGCACGCCAAATGGCGTGCACCCGGAATGCAGAGACTGTTTTGAAGCCGCCAAACGGCCATTGGCCGGGCGGCTAATGGTTAAAGGCCAAGCCCACCATTTACAACAACTAAAATATATAACTGGATATAACATTTATAGGTAACGTTGATCCAGGGAATATCCGATTGCCTCTCGGGGGATCAGGAAGGAATTTTTTCCCCAACAGGAGCAAATTGGATCGTGCTTTGCTGGTTTTTTTGCCTTCCTCTGGATCAACTGTGGGTGTAGGATTATAACTTTTTTTTTTTTAAATGGTTGAACTGGATATAACATTTATAGGTAACTATGATCCAGGGAATATCCGATTGCCTCTCGGGGGATCAAGAAAGAATTTTTCCCCTACAGAGCAAATTGGATCGTACTTCGCTGGGTTTTTTTTGCCTTCCTCTGGATCAACATTTTTTTTTAACGGTTGAACTGGATGGAATTTTGTCTTTTTTCAGCCAAACTAATGCCCCGTACACACGATAAGAAAATCGTCCGAAAAAGTTTGCGGAACCACCGATCGAACGATTTTCTCTTCGTTGACAAGCAGGATGTTTTAACCGATAACGATATTGTGAACAAAAAAAATCCGGTTGAACAACAGTGAAAAAGTTTGTCGTTTCGCATACGAACGACTGATTTTCTATGCGGCGGTGTGACGGTCATACGAAAAAAATCTATCAAGCGCTATCACGCATGAGCGGAAACAGAAGATGACCCGGATGTTTATGTCCGAGGAATCTTCGGAAACACGAACGAGAAATCCAAATGTTAAAGTAGATCGGCCGAATGAGATCATGAAACCGGAATTGTGCAGATTATATTTTATGTATTTATGTATATAGGTCATGTGATAAACGATATTATACTCATTGCTGGTCATTGTAGTGTATATATCGATCGTTCTGGCCGGAAGGGCGTGGCTACAAGGTCACATGCACACCGCATCACTTCCACTTGTACGGAAGACGTCAACACTACATATTGCCCGACAAACGATTTTTGTAGTATGGTTAATGTCGGCCACGATTTCGACCAACAAACGAACGACCGCCTCTCGGTCGTCGGATGACCGATCGGTTGATTTTCTAATCGTGTATTTCCACCTTAACTCTGTAACTATGTGTAACTAGTAAATGCAGCAACAGGGATCTCATGATCAATGTGCATATACTACTTTTTTCGCAATGAAGCCGGTGGAGCATTGCACCCAGGGGCGGACTGACAACTCATGGGGCCCCCGGGCAATAGGGGGATCATGGGGCCCGTGCCCTCATCCACACTCAAACCACACCCAAAAAAAGCCTTTGAAAGGTACTAGGGGCATCTCATGGGACCCCCTACTGACCCTGGGCCCTCGGGCAGTGCTCGAGTTTCTGAATGGTCAGTCCGCCCCTGATTGCACCTGTGATCAGTGCTTGGTGCGCCCAATGCATAGGCTCTTACAATGTACCTCCTCCCAGCCTCAGGCCTGTAGAGAGGTATGGACCTGACTGGAGCAAGTGCTGGTGAACTACAGAGTGAGGAGGAGGTGGTGTGATCCCTGGCATAGTCTGCCATGGTGGAAGACAGGACAGTACTGTCTGGGCGGAGCTATGCCAAAAAGGTAAACATTGCATAGAAGCACCCCATGATTTAAAGTAAGGGGGTGTCATATGTGATCGTGTGAGTAACAAACATAAATTATGGCCTTAGCTGTTAAGGCGATTTAAGCCGGCCATAGATGGTTCGAAATTTGGCCGCTTCAGCAGGAACCAGACAAATTTTGATCCGTGCAAATGATTCACAGAACAGGGAGCGCCATCATCTAAGTGTAGACTATTAGAAGAATAGACAACTCAGCGAGCGCTCAATAGAAATCAGCAGCTATGCACCGTAAAGGAAACCATAAATCATCTAAAAGACATATAAAGTGAAAAAAAAAAGTGCAGCGCAAACATTAAAATGTGAAATAAAATGTAGGTGAAATATAAATAATTTATAATAATAGTAAAAGTTTATAAAACGCCTCGTAATTTCAGATAACTCAGTACACCACTTCAAGATATAGGTGAGAGGCAAAATACAGATGAAGTGCGCACTCACCGGACACGCAAAAAAAAAAAAATTGCGCAATGCGCAGGAAAATAGAGGTCTGCCAATGGGTCCCTCTCAGGATTGGAATGGAATCGACCCGGAAGAAATGGATGTCATTGGGGATATTCAACAGGAAGTTCCCTTTAAGGACTCGGGTGCAGCCTCTTCAGTGTGGTAAGTTGGTCACCAGGGGGAGCTCTGGGGGGGTTAAGTGCTCAGCATAGAGCAGCTGGATAGAAGTAATGGCCGCCGGACCCCTGTGATCCGGCGGCTTGACGTCAAGGCTCGCAGGCTCCTCCAACCTGCGAGGAGCACCACCTTACCACATTGAAGAGGCTGCACCCGAGTCCTTAAAGGGGACCTCCTGTTGAATATCCCCGATGACATCCATTTCTTCCGGGTCGATTCCATTCCTTATCCTCAGAGGAACCCACTAGCAGACCTCCATTTTCCTACGCATTGTGCAATTTTTTTGCGCATCCGGTGAGTGCGCACTTCATCTGTATTTTGCCTCTCACCTATACCTTGAAATAGTGGTGTATTGAGTTATCTGAAATTACGAGGAGCTTTATGAACTTTTACTATTATTATATTATAAATTATTTATATTTCACCTACATTTTATTTCACATTCTATTGTTAGCGCTGCACTTTTTTTTTCACTTTATAAGTGTAGACTATTATTAACCACACATGACGAAAGTTTAGAACATGTTTAAAAAGGGTAAAAAGGCACATCAAGAATTCCTGCAGGCATCTGCAGAGCTCAGTTTGAGAAAAGGGCGTTCCAAAGCCCCAAAACGTATAGCCACGCCCCTCCCCCGTTGAAGTCATCCTGCTGAAACTTTCTGACCTCATCAAGCTTCCAGTCCTGGCTTGCTGGTGCATTCCACTCTAGTTCTAATTGGCGTGTCTACTCCCGACTGCTTCCTGCAACAAATCTGCATCACCCAGCAACGCTTCCACAACAAACTCTGCATAGGTTCCACAGCTGCTTCCAGGCGCTACACTGCAAACCCCTGGCCGCTTCCCTGGAGGACCCTGCAGGACTACCTGATGTGCCTTTTTACCTATTTTAAACATATGAGCAAATTAGAACTTTTGTCATGTGTGGTCTACACTACGATTGCGGCGCCCCCTATCTTTTGAATCTTTTGCAGTGTACAGGGGATTTATCCTATACTCTGACCAGAGGAGCTGCAGCCATCCATAGTGTGAGTGAATACATGAAACTGGACCTTTGTGGACCTACTACTGGGACCACTGAAAAAGATACACATTTCCAATCCCCCTTTCTTTCCTTTCACTTCAACCCCTTCTAAGGGGTAAAACAAATCTAAATGCCTAAGCACAATTTTGCAACCTTGACATATGTTAGTATCACCCAAAACTACTTTGAACATCCAGGTGGATTATACCGCGTTTTTTTCCAGGACAAATTGGGCTTTCATTTGGTGGTAAATGGTAATGGATATCTCCTGATTTTATTTTTTATCAAAGGAAAACTGGCCCAAAATAGTAAAAAAAAAAAAATTTTTTTTTATTTAGCTGTGTGTTTCTTGTTACTACCATAACCTACCACCAAAGAACAACTCCAAATAAATTCTCCAGCTCTTGACGATCGCAGCGATACCATCTATGTGTATGTTATTTGTACCCATAGTACAGCCCAGAAAAAATGCGTATTTTGTTTTTTGTCTTTTTTTTTACCCAAAACAAAATGACACCAAATTTTTTTTTTAAATCCTAACCTTTGACCCAGCCCTTTTAACCTTTGACCCAACACTTACCCTGGTACTGAACTAGAGCAAACCTTGATCTAGGTATTTTTTCTTTTATTTATTTTTATTAAAACATTTTCTTCCCCCTCTATGCCAGGAGTTAGAGAGACACAATTTATCTCTCCCCTAAATTCATAGAGAGAGAAAAAAAACAAGGGGGCGGGCTGTACAGTGACTGATCACTGTGATAGCCAATCAGAGGCTATCACAGCAATCATGTAACCCGGAATCGGGAGTCCCAGGTCCCGATCGTTAGAACGGGACCCGGTGCTCCCAGTGACACAGCGGTCTTTGTGCTGGGAGCGTGCCGTGCGGCGCGCTCCCAGCACAAAGACAGGTTTTTTTTTTTTACAACCATTTTTTTCTGTCTCTATGCCAGGAGTTGGAGAGATACAATGTATAATATGATGTATATGATGATACAATGTATAATATGATGTATATGATGATACAATGTATAATATGATGTATATGATGATACAATGTATCTCTCTCCTCCATTCATAGAGAGAGAAAAAAAAGCAAGGGGGCCTGGCTGTACAGTGACTGATCGCTGTGATAGCCAATTGGAGGCTATCACAGTGATCATGTGACCCAGACCGTTAGAACAGGACTCGGGGCTCTCAGTGACACAGCGGTCTTTGTGCTGGGAGCGTGCCGTGCGGCGCGCTCCCAGCACAAAGACAGGTACGCAAATATGCGGCCCCCACGGAAAAAAGCCCAGTTCTGTGAGGCCGCATATTTGTGTTACGTCGGCGTCAAGGGGTTGAACCAGTCTCTGCACCATAAAACAATATTTCCAATTTCGAATCCATCTATGGGCAGGCTGGTTGTACAGAAGTCGATTTATTGATCGACTTCAGTACAATCAGCCTGTCGAGTTTTACCTGTGCGCTATAGCTTGCGGCAGGGATTATTGTATTGTCAGTGGGGAAGGCTTCCCGAACTCCCTGCAGGCAGAACACAACAGCACTGCGGGAGGGATTCCTCCATCAACATGGATTGTGTTGATAGAGGAATCAAGCAATTTTCTTTCCTTCCACCCATGATTGAAGGAAAGAAAATTGCATAATGCATGGCCTGCCTTAGAGAGTCATGAAGCAAACATCCGAATACTTAGATAAATTGGGTAGACGCTTCAGTCCACTCATGTGTCAAATACTAGTTCTGGGACAGTGAGCCTCCACCTCTTCACCAAGTCACTGCCTTGAAACTAGTAGGACAAGTCGGATAATATCTGCTGCCATCAGGGTCTCACAGAGGTGGTCTCAGCTTAGTGAGAGTCTCCAAGTCTCATGCTTCTATTCTTCAAATGTCTGCTTGATGAACCCTTCTAGTACCTGAAGACACTCACCAAGAAAGCTGCAGAAATCCCCACTTCCTGCTTGCTGTTCGACACGGTGCTATCCAGGGAGTTTAGATTAAGACGATTGGTCCAAAACTCCTCGGCGCTGATCACCTGACTGACAACGAGGTCTTTGTAGAGTTGGAACAAGACTGGGTCCTCCTTCAGCATCCTTAAGGGGAAAAAAAAAAAAAAAAAAAAATCTGACTTCAGAATTTAAACAGTGTATGAGCGAGCAATGGGAATGGAAAAACGATCGTATCCGTGATGACTAGGAATACAGGGTTGTGCCCCAACATTTCACAAATACATTATAATCAACCTGAGCAGCAAGTGAGCAGACAAGCAAACAAAGCGCACATATAGAAGCCTGGGAGAGAACACTCATGGCGGTGATGTGGATCCTTACATTTGGGCCACACACACATTAGCAAACATCACTAATATTGGTAACCTCCCTAGCGGTCTGATTATGTCCATATTTCTGTGCTCAAAGCGGTACATTTTTTTGCATGGAAATATGTCGTTTTTTTATTGTAGGCTGTAATTTTTAGGAATAACTCACTGAAATCTGTCCGAACAAGAGTCTAGTAAACATCCCGGGTATGTTAAAATTTGAAACGCGAAATCATAAATTATAATTTAATAATCATAAAAAATAAATAATAAAATAATAAATTTTAATAATATAATCAAACCAAAAACACTGAAATGTGAAATATAGCGCCAAGTTCGCACATCGCTGAGCAAAGTCGCAGAATCGTTTTCAGTGTCTGATGAGGAATTTCCCCCACGAATCATTATCACTCAATTCTGCAAGTGGTTCTGATTTACTATCGCTGTTCTCTAGCCGGTCTAAAAACCGCTTTTTGACATAAAGGGACGCTTTTTGGACGCCATGGACGTTTCTCAGTTTCCAGGCAGAAAGAACAGTAAAAATGCAGGCAGGGCGCCGGACAAAGCACTCGGGACACAATGTATGTGAAATGGTTTGATACAGGAATGTTATACTATGTGATTTTAGTGTATTTAGTGGATGTCACTTTTTGTCATTTTCAAATTTCCCGCCAGTTCCGTCCCCCGTACGTCCCGACGCTCGCAGGGAACGGAACCCGTAAGACAGATGCCGGCATCCACCGGAGGACATTGCTGGGGACACTGCAGGGGGGACATCGCGGGAGCGAAGGACATGGTAAGTGCAGAAGAGATCCCGGAGCAACGCTGCAGAGTATTCCCGAGTGTAGATCGGTGGGGTTACCGCTTGTGGTGCTGAAACTTTACTCCGAGTTACACTCGGGAATACCGCCAGGGGGGTTAAACAGATACATAACTGCACAAGTGGGAGATTTACTAAAGCTGGAGAATGCAAAATCTGTTGCAGCTGTGCATGGTAGCCAATCAGCTTCCAGGTTGAAGAGCTCAGTCACACCTGCTGCGACTTGCCTAGCCACGCGAGTTTCAAATCGCACGGCAAGTCGCACCCTGTTGTCCGCAATTAAAGCGGTCATATCCGTGTGATTCCGACTTGGTCGGAGCCGCACCGATTTCTAAAGCAGTGCATGCGCTACTTCAGGTGCGACTTGCATAGACATCCCTGCCAGAGCACTGTAAGGCTAGGTTCACACCTATGCAGTCTGCGTTTGATTTGTTCCTGCAGTGCGTTTTGCGTTTTTTTCCCCAACTTGTTGGTGGGCAGATTAAAATGCAAAACGCATCAAAAACGTACTACATGGTTTTCTGCAGCATTTCCATTGATGTCTATAGAAGCAAAAACGCAACGTTTTGCGTTTAAAAAAAAAAAGCCCCTGACCCTTTCCAAAAATGCACCGGGCGAAAACGCGAACCTGTCCCATAGGAAATCATGTTAAATGGACTGCTGTGCGTTTCTGCAAAACGCATAGGTGAGAACCTACACTTAGCTGATGCGGTGTGGAATTCGCACTGGTTTCAGTGCGATTTCCGCACCGCATCATAATCGCACCCCGTTCATACGAACCACTGTGGGTGCGTATGTTAAGTTAACGACACCTCTGAAAGCGGGCCGCAAAACGCGGTGCGATGTGCAGAATCGGACCACATGGGTGTCAACACCCCTGTGTCTGCAATTAATATGGTCATATCGGTGCAATTCTGACTTGGTCAGAGCAGCACCGACTTCATACGGATTAACCCCTTGGCTGCCTCTTTACCTCTGCACCTCCAAAAGAATAAAGTGCCAAACAGTGCAAAATAAGTGAATGAATCAATGTCCGCAATATTACTAGATAACAATCAGCAAATATCAGCACCCCTGAGGACGTGCAGTCGCACGAAACGCGTCAGATGGAGCCTACACTGCTGCCGAGGAACGGAGCAGTGGCCATTTTGGTATTTGTTTTATATCATACTCCACGTGGAATTTTAAGCTGTTTGTGATACATTTACAGAACCATAAATACTACACTATATTATTGTTCTGGCTCCTGTGGTTGAGCTATCTTTCCCAGGACATCGGATACTTTCCCCACTTTCATACGGATGAAGCAGTAGGATTAACCCCTTGGCTGCCTCTTTACCTCTGCACCTCCAGATGTGACAGGTTTAACCAGATGCCTATTTATGTTTACACTCTGGTGAGTGTACATCCGTCCAAGGTGGTAGATTCCCTTCGTGGATGTTTGCACTTGGATACACTGCAATTGATTTGAAAACTATTATCGATTGATATTTGCTGATTGTTATCTAGCAATGTAGGCTCCACCCAATGCGTTTCATGCGACAGCGTGTCTTCAGGGGTGCTGATATTTGCTGATTGTTATCTAGCAATGTAGGCTCCAACCGACGCGTTTTGTGCGACAGCATGTCTTCAGGGATGCTGATATTTGCTGATTGTTATCTAGCAATGTAGGCTCCACCCGACGCGTTTTGTGCGACAGCATGTCTTCAGGGGTGCTGATATTTGCTGATTGTTATCTAGCAATGTAGGCTCCACCCGACGCGTTTCGTGCGACAGCATGTCTTCAGGGGTGTTGATATTTGCTGATTGTTATCTAGCAATGTAGGCTCCACCCGACGCGTTTTGTGCGACAGCATGTCTTCAGGGGTGCAGATATTTGCTGATTGTTATCTAGCAATGTAGGCTCCGACGCGTTTTGTGCGACAGCATGTCTTCAGGGGTGCTGATATTTGCTGTTATCTAGCAATGTAGGCTCCGACGCGTTTTGTGCGACAGCATGTCTTCAGGGGTGCTGATATTTGCTGATTGTTATCTAGCAATGTAGGCTCCACCCGACGCGTTTCGTTTGACAACACATCTTCAGGAGTGCTGATATTTGCCGATTGTTATATTTAGTAATAATGCGGACATTGATTAATTCAGTTATTTTGCACTGTTTGGCACTTCTTTTAAAAAGTCCTACTAAGAGCATAATTTATATTACCGCATCAATATTTATATACAGATTGTGCGTTTATAGCGCTGCACTTTATTTATACACATTAGCAAGACGGGTGACCACAATCCCTGCCATGCAGACATGAACGTGAAAATCAGATCAAATATTACTTTCAGGTAAAATTTACAATAAGTCACTGAAAGAAAACTAAAGTTCATCTTTACAAAGGCTGAAGAGGAAGACTGAGGCATTCAACAAAACCATTCTCTCTTTTCTCCAAGGTTCATCCCATCTACAGCTCCCCCCATACCTGTTCTTCTCCTCCAGCTCCTTGTTGGCCTTCCTTTTGAATTTGGGGAGCAGCTGCTGCAGAAGCTCTTTCACGGCGTCTCTCTCTTTTATTGCTGTGCTGTCATTGGAGAAATGAAGGTTGGTTGTCTCCCCCGCGTGGAGGACAAGTTGCAGCTGGACTTTCGCTTTGCCATCGGGGCTGATCTTTTGACCTGGAGCAAACAAACACAACCAAAGATTGGTAAGTCAAAGTGCTCAAAACAACTCTTCTCCCAAGTGGATGAACCGCATTCTCAGTGATGTCACCAGCGGGGGGACGGGGGGGGGGGGGACTGACAACTCACGGGGCCCCTGGGCAATAGGGGATCATGGGGCCCCTGTGTCCTTGCCCAAACTCAAAAAAGCCTATGAAAAAGGTACCAGGGGTATCTCATGGGGCCCCCTACTCACCCCGGGTCCTCGGGCAGTGCCCAAGTTTCCAAATGGTCAGTCCGCCCATGGTCACCAGTCTCTAGCGCAGTGTTTCTCAAACTTTTTCCAGTCGGGGCGCCCTTGAAAAGTATCAGTCACAAGGCACCCTTTTCCAAGGCTTGGTTCACGTTACTGTGTGTCACGGGACGCAGGCACAATCGCGCTCATTTCCTGACGCGCAGGAAAAAAATGGATGGAACATGTTCCCAAAGGTGAACTTAACCACTTCCCGCCGGCGCCTCCCGGCCCTTTAAGAGTTCCAGAAGCCGGGATGCGGGATGGGCGGGGTTTAGGGATCATGTGACCGCCGTGCCGTGTCGTCACGGCGGTCACATGATCGGGAAAGGTCCCAATCGAAAGAGCAGACTGGGACCTTTCCGTGAGTACCAGTCATGTGTGCTGAGAGCAGGCAGGGCGCGCGCTCTCAGCACGTGTTTTTTGTTAATTGCACGCAAATGTGCTGCCGCTCGCCATCTAGGCTCAGACGCCGGGAGGACGCACATTTGTGTGCGGCCGGCGTAAAGGGGTTAAAGAAATATAGAAAGATGGCTCTGACTAACTTCAGGAAAACGCAAGAAAAGCGAAGAATCTTCTTGATCCCAGATCCTTCCATAAAGAGTACCTGTCACATGCCTTTTGCTGCCACAAGGGTTGTTAGCATTCCTTGGGACAGCAATAAAAGCCACAAAAAAAATTTTTTTTGAAAGCAACAGCGTAAAAATAAAATAAATTAAAAAAATAAATAAATTGCCCCCATCCCCCTCTGCTCACGCTAAGAGGCGCACGCAAACAGCGATCGTCAGATCATTGGCAGCAATTCTAGCACTAGGCCTCCTGTATACATCTAAAGTGGTAACCTGTACAGCTTTTTAAAGCGTTGCCTATGGATAGCAAAATTCACGCCGTTCGTCGCTGTTGCATGTGAATGAGCAATTTTAAAGCGTGACACGGTATCTATTTATCCGGCATAACATCATCTTTTATATTTTACAGAACAATTGGGTTGTGTATTGGCGGTTTTCTCATTAAAATTCAAAAAAAGTTTATTTTATACTGACATAATTCACAATGAAATTAACTTTCAGCTCTGCTTCACAATGATGCGGTGCGGAATTCACAGCGTTTTCAGTGCGAATTCCGCACCGCATCAGAATCGCACCCCGTTCATGCGAACCGCTGGGGGTGTGTGTATGTTAACCCCTTGACGCCGACATCACACAAATATGCGGCCTCACAGAACTGGGCTTTTTTTCCGTGGGGCCGCATATTTGCGTACCTGTCTTTACGCTTGGAGCACGCCGCTTGGCGCGCTCCCAGCACAGAGACCGCGGTGTCACTGAGAGCCCCGAGTCCTGTTCTAACGGTCTGGGTCACATGATCACTGTGATAGCCTCCGATTGGCTATCACAGCGATCAGTCACTGTACAGCCAGGCCCCCTTGCTTTTTTTCTCTCTCTATGAATGGAGGAGAGAGATACATTGTATCATCATATACATCATATTATACATTGTATCATCATATACATCCTATTATACATTGTATCATCATACATCCTATTATACATTGTATCATCATATACATCCTATTATATATCGTCATATACATCCTATTATACATTGTATCATCATATACATCATATTATACATTGTATCATCATATACATCATATTATACATTGTATCATCATATACATCATATTATACATTGTATCTCTCCAACTCCTGGCATAGAGACAGAAAAAAATGGTTGTTAAAAAAAAAAAAAAAAAAAAAAAAAAAAAAAGATATTAAAAAATAAAAGAAAAAAAAAGAAAAATACCTAGATCAAGGTTTGATCTAGTTCAGTGCCAGGGTTAGTGTTTGGATCAAGGTCAGGGTCAAGGTCAAGATAAAAAAAAAAAACAAATTGGTGTCAGTTAGTGTTAATGTCAGTGTTTTAGGATAAAAAAAAAAAAAAAAAAGACAAAAACAAAAAGCGCACTATTGTTTCTGGGCTGTACTCCGGGTACAAACAACAAATGACATACACATAGATGGTATCGCTGCGATCGTCAAGAGCTGGAGAATTTATTTTGGGTTGTTCTTTGGTGGTAGGTTATGGTCGTAACAAGAAACAAAGCTAAATAAAAAAGAAAAATATTTATTTTACTATATTGGGCCAGTTTTCCTTTGATAATAAAAAAAAATATTTTTTTTTACTATTTTGGGCCAGTTTTCCTTTGACAATAAAAAAAATATTTTTTTTACTATTTTTGGCCAGTTTTCCTTTGACAATAAAAAAAAATATTTTTTTTTACTATTTTGGGCCAGTTTTCCTTTGATAATAAAAAAAAAATATTTTTTTTTACTATTTTGGGCCAGTTTTCCTTTGACAATAAAAAAAAAAAAAATTTTTTTACTATTTTGGGCTAGTTTTCCTTTGACAATAAAAAAAAAATTTTTTTTACTATTTTGGGCCAGTTTTCCTTTGATAATAAAAAAATATATATTTTTTTACTATTTTGGGCCAGTTTTCCTTTGACAATAAAAAAAAAATATTTTTTTTACTATTTTGGGCCAGTTTTCCTTTGATAATAAAAAAAAATATTTTTTTTTACTATTTTGGGCCAGTTTTCCTTTGATAATAGAAAAAAAAAAAAAAAAAAAAAAAAAAAAAAAAAAAAAAATTTATTTATATATATATATATATATATATATATATATATATATATATATATAATATATATATATATATTTATTTACTATTTTGGGCCAGTTTTCCTTTGATAATAAAAAAAATATTTTTTTTTACTATTTTGGGCCAGTTTTCCTTTGATAATAATTAAAAAAAAAAAAAAAAAAAAAAAATCAGGAGCTATCCATTACTATTTACCACCAAAAAAGCCCACTTTGTCCTGAAAAAATCACGGTATAATCCACCTGGATGTACAAAGTAGTTGTGATGATACGGATGGTTTTACTATCACGTCAACGTTGCAGAATTGTGCTTAGGCATTAACATTTGTTTTAACCTCAGGCGTGAAGGGGTTAAGTTAACAACACCCCGAAATCAGCCCACAAAACGCGATGCGATGTGCAGAATCGCACATGTGCATAGGTGTGAATACTCATGCGATCCGATACTAGTGCGGACCAAAAAAAAAGGGGTCCTGCGCCTTTTTTGGTGTGGGTGCGGTGCGATTAGAGCCATCCAAAATGTACGCTCCAATCGCAGCGCACACAAATCGCATGTGATTTGCACAGTAATGCGGTTCGGTTCCTGCGTGAATCACATGCGATATACCGCACCGCATGTATGTGAACCCGGAGTTACGCTCACTTGGAGGGTGTCATACCTGAAACCACGTTAGGGTTCCCCCTTATTACCAGACGTTACTTACACTTGATGTCTGCGTACAGGTGGCTCACTGTGAATCGGTCCTTGCCTTCGGGGGCCCAGGCAATCCTTTCCGCCATCAGGTAAAGGGCCCCATCTTGTTTCTTCTGGCGCACCTTCTTCACGATCAGTAACACTTCTTCGGATGATGTGGCCATGGCGGTGGTGCGGACGGGTGCTGGGGAATGTGGACACAACGCGTCATGTGACAACTCGAGAACATATGGAAAGCCAATACAGAACAGAAGGGATGTACTGGCAGCAGTAATGTGACAGATAATCTGATGAGTCGCAACACAGCGAGGTGCGAGGATCGGGACGGTGGCAGTCCGAACGCACATTCGCATGAACGGAAAGCTGCATCCGGATCTGCAATGTATCCAGAAAGTTTACCAAGCATGCCTTGATGGCGGGAATAGACAACAGCTTACAGCTGGAGTTTAACCTGCCTATATTACCGCCCCCCTTCCCACACCTCCCCTTCCCGCTAATAAAACCTATATTAGATCAGAGGTGCTCAACACCCTGGGAGCCCTCTGATGTGGCCCTGGGAGCCCTCTGATGTGGCCCTGGGAGCCCTCTGATGTGACCCTGGGAGCCCTCTGATGTGGCCCTGGGAGCCCTCTGATGTGGCCCTCAAACTGAATACAGGAGTTTGGGGCGCGTTTAGATCTAAAGACGCTTTAGTGCGTCTGGAAGAAAAGAGATTTAACCCCCCTCGCCCTCCAGAGGATTTATGCCCCTTCCTGGCCAGACCATTATTTGCATTACTTTAACTGACAATTGCGCAGTCGTGCAACGCCGCACCCAAATTAAATTTACGCCCTTTCCCCCCCACAAATAGCGCTTTCTTTAGGCGGTATTTGATCGCCTGTGCGGTTTTTATTTTGAGAAAAAAACAATAGTTTTGACTTTTTGCCATTAAACATGCCCAGTAAAAAAGTTTGAAAAAAAAAAAAAATCAAATTTCGTCATAAATTTCGGGAAAAATGTATTCTGCTCCGTGTCTTCGCTAAAAAAAAAATCCCGATACGTGCAAATTAATTGGTTTACGTGAAAGTTAGAGCGTTTACAAATGGCAGTATAGATACTGGGATTTTTTTTTTTACTAGTAATGGCGGCGATTGGCGACTTATAGCGGGACTGCGGCGGGCATTCTAACACTGGGAGGGGGGAACTGACTAACTGCCACTGACATCCCCATTGACACCAATACAGTGATCAGTGCTTAAAAAAAGCACTGACACTGTACTAATGACACTGGGCAGGAAGGCGTTAACGTGGGGCAATCAAAGGGTTAACTGTGTGCTGTGCTTTACACTGTAAGCACACTGCTTTGTATGGCACTGCTATGCAGTGTGCAGGAGCTGACAGGTGAGAGATCTGTTTTGTTTATACAAGGTCTCTCCCCCATCAGAGATACTCAGCGATCACCAGGTGCTGATGAGTAAAACCAGCCGGAACCCGGTGACTGACAGCCGAGGCCGCGAATGGCAGTGCGGGTAGGGTGCACGCCTCCTACCCAGAACTGCAAAATCATATATGTGTGTGTGTGATTTTGCAGTTCAGGGTAGGGGGCGTGCACCCTACCCACGCCAGTCATATATATATATATACATACACACACACACACACACACACACACACGAGTTTGTGCACCCATGCCACCCGGTAGCAGTATTTCTGCCACAGGTCGGTGTGGAAGCGGTTAATCTCCAAACACGGAAAGGTTTCTTCACAGTAAGAGCTGTGAGAATGTGGAATAGACTCCCTGAAGAGTTGGTTGTGGCCAGCTCAGTGGATTGCTGTAGGAAAGTCCTGGATTCTTTCTTGGATACACAGAATATAACTGGATATAACATTTATAGGTAAAGTTGATCCAGGGAATATCCGATTGCCTCTCGGGGGATCAGGAAGGAATTTTTTCCCCTGCAGGAGCAAATTGGATCGTGCTTTGCTGGGTTTTTTGCCTTCCTCTGGATCAACTGTGGGTGTAGGATTATAACTTTTTTTTTTTTTTTTTTCAGTGGTTGAACTGGATGGACTTTTGTCTTTTTTCAGCCAGACTAACTATGTATCTCTCTATCTACCACACCCGCAGAGGGAGGTTAGGGGAGGGGGGGATCAAAGGGTGAAAGGAGAGGGGGATCAAAGGGGGATATGACAGGGAGGGAGGAAGGAGGTGATGCCTGCAGAAAATCTCTCCCGTCAACCCCTCCTCCATCTCTGCAGAACATCTCTCCCGTCAACCCCTCCTCCATCCCTGCAGAACATCTCTCCGTCACCCCCTCCAACATCCTTGCAGAACATCTCTCCCGGCACCCCCTACTCCATCCCTGCAGAACATCTCTCCCGTCACCCCCTCCAACATCCTTGCAGAACATCTCTCCCGTCACCCCCTCCTCCATGTCTGCAGAACATCTCTCCCGTCACCCCCTCCTCCTCCATGTCTGCAGAACATCTCTCCCGTCACCCCCTCCAACATCCTTGCAGAACATCTCTCCCAGCACCCCCTCCTCCATCCCTGCAGAACATCTCTCCCGTCACCCCCTCCTCCATGTCTGCAGAACATCTCTCCTGTCATCTCTCTCTGCAGAACATCTCTCTTGCCTGTCCCCCCTCCTCAGAGAACATCTGTCACACTTCTCTGCAGATTATCTCCCCCATTTGCTATCCCTGCAGAACATCTCTCCCGTCACCCCCTCCTCCATCCCTGCAGAACATCTCTTCATTCCCCCCTCCCTGTAGATCACCTCTCCTGCTCCCCTACAGACTGTCTCTCCCCAGGGGGTCGGAGCCCCAGCAGCCCGGACCGGGTAGTGGCACTAAGCGGCGGTGGGGGAGGTATGGGGGGTGCAGACCTCCGGTAGAGTGCAGGGCGGGGGTCGGACACACACACGTACCGCTCCGGTCAGGCGCACAGCGGCTCCATGCTCCCCGGCGGCCCCTCTCGCCGCTTCCTCTTCCCTTCCTCCAGCTCTGTGTACGGAGCGCCGCACCAACCAATCCAACCTCCCCCGCACGCCGCCACCCATTGGCTGCCCGGTGGTCACATGACACCTCTGACAGCCAGCTAAGGTACCGGGCCGCTCATTGGCTGACGGAGGTCACCTGCCCGGCTTGGGGCGGAGCTGTGGGAAAGAGGTTGGTGTGGTTGCTTCGCTGTGGTCACGAGGTAGATGGAAGCCCAGCAATCCTTGAACGAGTTCTACAGTGTAGGCGTGGCTGTAGGCTTGATAACCAGGAAGTGTAAATGTGACGCCTGTCCTCCACCAACAAAATGGCCGCCCTAGTTCTCTACCTCAGGAGTATTACTGATAAACCATTGCTTTTAAAAACGGATATAAATGGATGCAAGTGGCCGCTAAATGTGTAAAATTAGAGTTTTGTGAAACATTTTTCGAGAATGTAAGAAATGACATGTAAGGTTCATTGTAAATGTGTAATCTTTCCACCCTGAGGAATTCTACGGGCCCTGAAATGTACCTAAACATCGACTGTTCCCTACTCTGTGCAAACAATAAAAAAGAAAGGTTTCAGTATTTTATAGGAAACACTATTATTACAGGTACTTATATAGCGCCATCAATGTACGCAGCGCTTTACATATATATTGTACATTCACATCAGTCCCTAACCCTCAAGGGGCGTACAATCTAAGGTCCCTAACTCACATTCATACATACACATACTAGGGCCAATGTGGACAGGAGACAATTCACCTACCAGCATGTCTTTGGAGTGTGGGAGGAAACTGGAGTACCCGGAGGAAACCCACACAGGCACAGGGAGAACATGCAAACTCCAGGCAGGTGGTGCCGTGGTTGGGATTAGAACCAACTACCCGAGTACTGCCAGGCGGAAGTGCTAACTACTTAGCCACTGTGCTGCCACATTATGATATTGCTCTATGTTGAATTCTTTTTCTTCTCTGCTTTTTTAGCCTCAGGTTGTAGATAGTTCCCTGACTAGTTTGAGAGTTGTGTAAGTATGAGGCTGGACTGCTGGCTCACCCCTGCGGGAAAGTAGTTACATATATAAATACTACAGTCAGCCTGACATTAATATATCAGGTACGTATATAGTGCAGGGATGGAGGAGGGGGTGACAGGAGAGATGTTTTGCAGGGATGGGGAGAGGGTGACAGGAGATGTTCTGCAGGGATGGAGGAGGGGGTGACAGGAGAGATGTTTGCAGGGATGGAGGAGGGGTGACAGGAGAGATGTTTGCAGGGATGGAGGAGGGCAAGACAGGAGAGATGTTTTGCAGGGATGGAGAAGGGGATGACAGGAGAGATGTTCTGCAGGGATGGATAAGGGGATAACAGGAGAGATGTTCTGCAGGGATGGATAAGGGGATGACAGGAGAGATGTTTCTGCAGGGATGGAGAGGGGATGAACAGGAGAGATGTTCTGCAGAGATGGGTGACAGGAGAGATGTTCTGCAGGGATGGAGAAGGGGATGACAGGAGAGATGTTCTGCACGGATGGATAAGGGTTGACAGGAGAGATGTTCTGCAGGGATGGAGGAGGGGGTAACAGGAGAGATGTTCTGCAGGGATGGAGATGGGTGACAGGAGAGATGTTCTGCAGAGATGAAGGAGGGGGTGACAGGAGAGATGTTCTGCAGGGATGGAGGAGAGGGTGACAGGAGAGATGTTCTGCAGAGATGAAGGAGGGGGTGACAGGAGAGATGTTTTGCAGGGATGGAGAAGGGGATGACAGGAGAGATGTTCTGCAGGGATGGAGGAGGGCGAGACAGGAGAGATGTTTTGCAGGGATGGAGAAGGGGATGACAGGAGAGATGTTCTGCAGGGATGGATAAGGGGATGACAGGAGAGATGTTCTGCAGGGATGGATAAGGGGTGACAGGAGAGATGTTCTGCAGGGATGGAGGAGGGGGATGACAGGAGAGATGTTCTGCACGGATGGATAGGCATGACAGGAGAGATGTTCTGCACGGATGGAGAAGGGGATGACAGGAGAGATGTTCTGCACGGATGGATAAGGCGTGACAGGAGAGGTGTTCTGCAGGGATGGAGGAGGGGGTGACAGGAGAGATGTTCTGCAGAGATGGAGTGACAGGAGAGATGTTCTGCAGGGATGGAGGAGGGGATGACAGGAGAGATGTTCTGCAGGGATGGAGGAGGGGATGACAG